TTACTTTGGAAAAATATGAAAAAAAGCGAAGTATTGTGATAAGCAGAAAAAAAGCCAATTGTTATTAATATCGGTAATTCTAATTTAATTGGTAATAAAAAGACGTTTTGTAGCGGAATACTAAACCAATTTTCTAAAAATGTATCCATAACAGGTAAAGAAAATAAATGGGGTTTACTATCATTTAACTTCAACTATCATTTAGGTCAAATCTTGTGACTAATACAATAAAATTAGTTGAAGTCATAGTTGCAGTCACGCAATTGCGGTCCCTGCATTGTTTATTATTTTTCTGTTCGCATTTATTATTGGATTTTTCCATTAAAACTATCATGGCGTAGAATCAATAGGGTGAAGGGACTAAACCCATGTGAAATTAATATTCTTAAAATAGTGCGTAGGCAGTTGATTTATATCGACTGATAACTTTATAATTTCTCCACAAATGCAGTGTTCGAGTTTTAATTTATAATTACATATGTAATTTATATATAATTGTCATAATTTATACGATTATGATGCCCAGCGTACTCAGAAAATCTAACTTTTTTCAGCCGTGTCTCCCAGCTGACTACATTGAAAAACAATACGTTAAGAATAATAATGCAAAAGTCGTCAAGGCTTTCAAATCAAATAGACAATTATTAAATATTTTATGGAAAAATCTTCTTTTTCTTATTGATATAATAAATTGGAAAAATAAAAATTAGTTGCCAATACGTCATTCAATTTTGTTTCACAAACAAGCCTTAGAATCCCAATTTTTTTTTTCTCGTCAATAACTGCAAAATGTTATAGCTAAAGCGTAAAAACACCGATAGATAGAGAAAAAACCAAACAGGGAACGAAACACGAAATAATCTTAATCTCACGTTTATTCATAATCGTCGCTTGTAATCTAAAACTGAAACTATTTGCAATATTTAATCAATAATATTATCTACATTGTTTTTTTAATATTATTATATTTAACATTAATAAAAATGTAATGGTCAATTTCCAGAAACTAGACCATAAACACAAAATAGAAATCAAAACTAACCCTTATTATAGACATAAAAATGTGAATTTCATAAAATGGAATGCATGCAGTATAATTATGTTGGCAAGTGAAGCTTTCATGTTCAATTTTCAAATAGACAGCATTTTCAATAGGAGTAATATTTAGATTAATGGCAGTGAAAAGGTGACAAACCCAACAAAACAACCATTATGAAATTGATTTCCGGATACCGTCCTTGAATATGACAACTTTCTAGTGCAAATCATTGCGTGTTTTTATTGTAGGAAAATTTGGATAATGTATAATCGGGGTTCCATTCTGAAGAACAAAAGCGTGTCCAATTCCGTCATTTCCTTCTACAAATTTTTGATGATAAATAATTAGTTTCGAAACTAACCCAGCCGGCAGGTTTCTAGTAATTCCATTTGCTTAGAAGCTCGGCAGATGTAAAAAAATAAACTTTACTTAAATTACCATCAAGTGCAAGCATTAATGGCTCACGGGCACAATACAAAAAGTTTTCATTTCGATAATTTCTAGATCTAATTTAATATTAATAGTAATGATTTCTAATGCCAGTCTATTCGGATTTTAATGTATTTCGTCAATTAAAGAGCTTCCACGAGGTTGTTAGCTTATGTCTCCAGTAAATTGGTGGTTGAAATAGATCATTGCACTGAAATCACTGGTTTCGATACGATTATTCTACAATTTATTCTACTAAAAGGAAATGTAAATTTTCTATATCACGCACAGGGTGTTATTAAGTACGAAGCCCAACTTCAACTGACTAAGAATAAATCCTTGCATAAGCGCAGATCCGTAAATGCTTTATATTTTTAAGAAATCGTTTTCCGAAAACAATTTTAAAAATTTTTGATGAACATCTACAGAAATTGCGAAAGATAATTGATAAAACGTAAAACGTATATGTATTTAACAAGAAAAAGTAAAAAAATAGTTGAACCACTAATTTATCCTTCGCTTTTTAGCAGATATTCTATTTGTTCTTACAGTTTCACAGATTCTCCCTTTTTATGACCACCCGCAAAACTTTTCGAAGCAATCATTTGGATGCCATTCCCAACAGATACTTAACAACATCAATGCCATCGTTGTTTCATTTATTTACTAATTATGATACAATCATCTAATTATCCAATACAGACAACATTCAAGGGGTTTGCAGTTAAAATCCATCTACAAACGCATGTTAGCATTTAATGAAACCAGCAGTTCTCTATTACATACATTAAACACAGATAATCTAAAACAATTTTTATACATTGCTGAAACAACTGAAAACGTGTAATTACTTTGTTTCCTTAGATTACTAATTTTCTTGCGGAGTTTAGATGGAAATGCAGTTAAAGCGGCATTAACTAACCGAAATCGCTGACGCAAAATGTAGTTAGTTAGCATAAAGGCCGCTCCGTGCTTAAATAACAGTTATCGCACCTATTTTTAGTTATAAAACTAAGCACGTTTTTACTTACTCGAAGCTTATTTGCATATAAATGTTCGCCTACGTAAGATTTTTCCCTTCGATTTGCCCACAGGGCCAGCTTATCCTGATTTTCCATTCATTGTGCCCTGATAGTAGGCATACTGCAGTGCCATTAATTCTCTACTTGCGTTATTATTTATGTAAGTACGTAGTCAGATTTTCGCAAATTGCTCAAAGCGGAGATGTTTGGAAAATTAAATTTCCAACCAAGGGAACTATTACTGCACGTTTAAAGCGTATCACCAAGAAATGTCCTCCAGTGAAAAAGTATTGTAAATTTCATTTAATATTTATATCTTTCAACCTGTGTTTTGCTAAATATTCATCACTAAAGTAAAGAGCGACACACCGTATGTATTTTTCGTATTTTTCGGAATATAAAATCTCAAGAAATCAAAGAAATTGGAAAACGTGTTCTCTGTTTTTTTTTTGGACGGAAAAAAGTTGTTAAAGCACTTTCCTTATTTAAGATTCAAATCTCAAAATCTTCCTTTTTACTAAATATTTATGGATAATTCAATAAGTCAATACATTTTGGCAAAACACGAGTGTCAAGTAAATAGTTTAATAGATACCATCCAAGTAAACTGCTCAACCAATTAAATGTTACAGTGCCAAATTTGTTCAAACTTTGTAATTAGAATAAATTTTAATTCTGGAATTCTGCTTGAAGCGTATTTACTGTAATTCATTTTCTTTCAGTCTGTGTTTTTGTAAAAATTACGTACTTTTTATAAATTTCTTATAGGTTGGAAAAGAAGACAAGGCAAACTTTCTTGAAAGTTTGGCATGCTCCCAGTTGAACATAAAAAGCATTAATATGAACCTCATGTCTCAAGGAGATTTTTGAAAGTTTTGTCTATTTATTTTATTTACAGCGTGATCTCAAAAAATTAACTTTTTGGTGTTGCCGTGATAAAAATGTTTCCTCTTAAACCGATTTTTGAAATACAGATCGCATCTTGAAGTTAAAGTTTAATAATCGACCAATATTCTATATACAGGAATAAATGAACGATTTTTTTTTAACTAAATTTCACTTTAATTCAATGTCTGCCAGATTTCGAGAGCAGTTCTCAACCCTGTATATTGAATTTTCTACTTGAGTCGATTATGAGGTTTCAGTTTCTACATGAGCTGCAGATTTAAAAAAAGGCGAGAATTTCGAAAACCATTTCGATATATGCGGTTTATATTGATGCATTTTGTGGCGTTGAAAACCATAAACACATTTTTTGGTCTCAACAATGAGTATGCCGAATATTCAGAGAAGTAACATTGTTTCATTTTACAACTGTGGAAACTTACTCTGAAATAAATAATTTTTGCAAACCCAAGGCAGTCCCTGGGTTTGCACACAGAATAAGAATTGGACTCAATTAGACTTCAAACAGAATCAATCTCAATCTTTCTTGGGCAGTTTCTCCAATTGTTGCGCAGTTTAGTGTAATACTCAATCATATTATTGAAACAGGAGTTTGTTAAGTCATTGTTAAGAAATAGATAATACTGGTTTTAAATATTAAATTGTATTAAAACGTAAAAATATTATTTCTTGATAGGAAATTTATGAAAGTATCACGGCACTTATACAATAAATAAACATACAAATCTTGTTTAAACCGGCATATTAATAATAAATAAATATTTTTTAAAACAAATTAATATTTTACCGTCCTTTTTTCTAAATAAATATATATATGTTATACCGGATGTCTGTAAATTTTACAAATTATTCAGCCATTCAACTCAGTGTGTTAAAAATTATAAGTTTTGAAAACGATTTTTTCTTAGAAAAATGGAAATTTAGGATATTTATCTGGAGTTTGTTAGTATATTACGTAGGTTATGATGAAGCTTAGTTACTCATTTATGAATTACTTACATGGCAATAAAATGAAAGTAACAGTGGAAAATTGGAATTTCGAATAAAGCATAATTGCTGACTACTTGCGTTGCTTTAAGTTATTCAAATTGTTCAATAAACTTTTCACTATACATTTTATTAGTACTTAAATTAAAAATCAAGGTTTAACGCTTTTTGAAAAGCCTTGATTGCTGAATGTGAGATAATAGTGAAAACGGCTCATTCAAAACTAACCGTCTAATAAATTGATGATTTTTTAAATGAATAAATTGCTCTTTTAATTATACGCGTAGTAGGCATAGGCATAGCACGTTAGTGAATAGGAAAATTACAGATTAATTACATTTTTCCACTTTATCAGTTCCTACAAGTCTCACTCATAACCCGCTTGTTAATTCTATGAAAATTCGAATGGATTAAACCCTAAGAAAGCTCTGTGCATATGAACTTATATTAATTTTCTAAATTTTATTTTTTACCATTTGTATGATTTAGATTTCTGTAGCTGGGAAACTGTATAATGAATCATGTCTTAAATCTTCTCATTTGGAGCCAAAGGTTATGTAGCAAAAGCGTAGCAGAAACCATGGTTTTTTTCGACTTTAGAAAGGCTTTTTTTATAGAGTGTCATATTGGAAGACAGTGACAAAAGCGATGCAATCAGGCAAAAAAAGGGAGTAGAAAGGCATTACACATTTGACGTAGTTTTTAACGAGACATCTTTTCAAGAAGAAGTATATGATGTTACTACCAGAAGTTTGGTCAAGGACGTGTTAAATGGGTAGGTAGCAAACTACTTTAATACGAAAACAGGTAGATAGAAGATATTTTGCGACAAATTACTAATAGAAGATTTACCAGCCAATTTGCAAAAGTGCATTATAGAAAATCTAACGTTTCGATTCTTAGAAGTTTAAAAAACCAATAGTTTTTTCTTACGCAATTTTGAAAAATTATATTTTCATTATATTTTCATTAACAGATATAATGGAACGGTATTTGCTTATGGAGCGACCGGAGCTGGTAAAACTCATACAATGGTTGGTGATAGACATCATCCTGGGATTATGATTAGAGCATTAAATGATATATTTGAAGCTGTGAAGGATAAGGAAGACGAATACTCAGTAAGTATAAATTTACATATAAAAGCATAAAGTAAAAAAACTGACAGATATTTCTCAGTAATATTTCTCATAATATTTAATTAATTTTTTTCATATACCATTTTTTTTGTTTTTATTTCACTTATTTATTTATTCATTTATTCGACTTATTTTCAATACATTTGATTAACACGTTTCTCTAAAAACTTTTTATGTATACTTAAAAATACTCCCCTCGATAGTAATAGCAAATTGAAGCACGCAATATTACACGAAACTATTCAATAAGCAGTAAAAGAATTAATTGTGCTATTAATCGAATTAATGAGTCTGAAACTAATAACTTTATTTTTTTGTCGTTATTATTCCTTTGAATATTTAAATAGCAATAGAAAAAATTATATTCATATGTTGTTGACATTAACTCTTCCTCTAATTAGAACATGAAAAAACGATTTTGAATAAAGACAAGATTTGTAAAAAACTACTACATTTCAATACAATTTTTAGGTGCATTCGCATATATAAATATGAAAGTTGAAGATTTTGTTGCCAACTTTCATATACTTAGTCAGTACGTATATCGTTATGTTATGAAAATATAATTGAACAGCAATAGCGGGCAACCTTACAACCAGTTGTAAGAAAAGGCATATCGATTATTTCAAATTGATATAATGAGGGAATCATTAATTTTCATGTCAGTTTTATAATGGAGATCTAACCCGGTATTATGTACACTAAGTGAAAGGGTTCGCTGGAAAATTGTATCACGGTTAAGAATATCGATATTTCAAATTCTGAAAACAGTCCTTTTTCTAGCGAAGAAAATTAATTAATAAGTCTAGGCATTGTAAGAGGGCAAAAAACTTGTTTATACTCCTGCTTAAGACTGTTACCTTCGGTAATATTTAAGTCGAGCTTTTGATTAACAACTTGTATTTGCTTTCAAACTCATTTATTCTGAATGTAAATAAAGGTCAATATTCACAAATTAAAGCAAAACTCATGTTTCAAAGTTAGAGCTAAAAATATGTACATTTACAAACTGCGCATTTAGTAAGGAATTTTTCATTTAGTAGTTAACTATAGTGCAATTTTCTGTGTACGGTAACTTGACTAAACATTTAATGGTTCGTTCTGTTTGAGGTCACCATGTCTTATTTGGAGTTGTATAATGAAAATATCCGAGATCTGCTGAATCCCGCCTCAGGCTACCTAGAGCTAAGGGAAGATTCCAGGGGAAGGAGCATACAAGTCTCAGGTTTAACGGAAATATCGACCACAAGTACAGACGAGGCAAGTAGAGCATAAATAAATAATCAAAAGGTAACATAGAGCAATAAACAATATAACCCAAATTAGCTACAGTAGGTAGGTAGGTATTCAAGGTTTTAACTTGGCTTGCAAGTAGATCTGAAATATTAGAGAAATTAATGATATGAAATTTGTATGCATATTCATAAATATGTTCACAACTTGATTATAAAATTATAAACTCTGAGGTAAATGCTTAAAACATTTGCGTATGACCTTAACTTGTAAACATGCAAAACGGCATATACCTGTGGTTGAAAACTTAAAATCAGTGGTTTACTAATCTCGCAAAAATAAATCAATCAAGCTTAATCTAGCTTGCACGATATTCAAATTAAATTGGCATGGTTTAATAACGAAATTTCCTGACAAATTACTTTGAAATGCAAATATGTCAAACTTTCAGTTTTATGCCTGAAAAGTTAAGTGCAAGCGGAATGTAAAAAATCTACATATGTATGATGTGTAGAGTAAAACATGCACACATAAAAGCAACAGTCTTTTTGTAAGAATTCACAATATAACAGATATATAAACTTGGACAACTTAGGAGATTTGTGTGCTAAACTCATACCAGGGCAAGCACATAGCACACTCTTATCTATCTGTAGGAAAACTGCGTGTCGAATCTTTATTAGTTTATTTGAGATTTTCGCTAAGAACAGTTCGAGAGAACGCTGATTATACAAAGTGAGAAAGTGTGAAACATTTTCATTATCTAAATTTTCTGATTTTGCTTAAAAGTAAGATACAAAAATAAAAAAACCAAAATTAAAAATCACAAAGAAATATGTAAGAAGCTTCTACGTTCTATTGCATTACTAGCAAGCGATGAACAATAAAAATGGTTATGATGAATTATTCAGAACAACGATGAAGATGCACAAATCTTCAAAACAAATCTGAAAGAGTAGGATCGCCAATTTTTTAAAATTATCCAGAAAACGGTAAATATGGCGTTATCAGCATCTATATCAAACATTCTATCAGAGTTTTATCAAAAGTTCTCAAACTTTTCGAATTTAATCCATGTTGCGGTTGATAATTAACCATAAGGACTGTAATTCGAAGGACTAATAGGACACAATGTACGAGAATATAGAATCAAATGTTTAAATAGACGACAGTAAGACAGACCTTCGCGTTTTGTTTGATCTAGGAAAATATTAACATTTCATCGGTTATAACGTTTATCTGCATAGACCTGTGGTGTCATCAATTATTCGCTTTTACTTTTACTATTAAATTATTAACCGTACGAACCTTGATAGAATGTGTCGAATTTCCATTAGAAAATATACCTCCAATTGACCTTAAGATGGTCTTGAACATGTCGATTTCAGCCAATGAATTACAGAAGTAATTCCTCTGGCTTCCAATAATTATAACAGAATGATTGTACATCACGCGATGTCTAAGAAAATCCATCAAGTGGATAGTCAGTTAATTAAATTATCCCTTAACCTTAACAATGAGCCGTTATCCTACATTTGTGAACCTTCGCAGTTAGTGGCTCCCTTTCGCTTTAGGTATAGGTTTGTCCTATTTGTGTATGTTTTTATTGATTATTATTTCAGTTAGGCATTGTTTACTTGCCTGTGGATTCTAGGGTTTCATCCTATTAGATAATTGCCAATAAAATTGTTCCTGATAGAAAGAAATATTTATGTAATGTCCAAATTCGTTAATTACTTTACTTAAATAGAAATATTCTATAAAAAAGTTAAATTAACAGTGAATTAGTTATTAGCAATTATAGTTGAAAATTTATTTATTAAATAATTACCTACTTCCAGGAAAACTTTGCAATTCTAAATTTAGTTGAATTATCTATTTATAGACTGTCGTTATCTGGTAAAAAATTTAAATAAAATAATCAAAGAGAAATTTATAGAAATGTTATAATGCATGTCTTACGTGTCGGAGTCAATTAGCAACTTCCTTGCATTAAAAGGCTAACCAGTTAAATCACTGATATATACATTAAAGCAATGGTATTATTTTATGTTTCATTCAGTAATATTTGTTAAAGAAAGTTATCCTCAAAGAAATGGCGGCCGAGCCCTTTGTAACATCTCGAAAGAATCTAAAAATAAATCCTAATTTTCTGGTCAGACTAATCTATTTGCGTTTTAAAATTGCATACGAAGGTCTTTGGAATTTGAAATTTTTCAATTTTTCTTATACCACATGTTGCCGATTTAATTTTTTAACTATGGGAGCTACCTAACTATTCTGACATTTTCCTAAAAATGTTTCTGTTTTAGAAGACTGGAAGGTTTCTAGAAGATTTGCAGATATAATTTATGTTATGAGATTTTTTGTGTATGAAGTAAAAAAATTTTAAAAAAATTGTTAAATTTGGTAAACCAACGTGCAATAAGTAGTTTTGCATATTTTAAAGTTTTTTGACCGCTGTTTTGAACGTAACCAGATATAGAAAATCTATAATGATTTTCCTTGTATATTAATGGACTTATATGGAAAAGTTATAATCTGGCCTCTATTTAACACGAGACTTAACTCACATTCATGCTGATTAAAAAGCGTTTAAATAAATTACTGTTGGGTCATGCGGACTTGAAACACTGAATGATTAATTTAGTTTCTTTTTGGTTAATGGAACTACTATCGATCTGTGCACCTTGTACGGCCAGCAAGTTAAAAATTGAAAAATTTCCCCGACCAAATGTTGATAATTACCCTTGACGCCTACACTAATATTCAAGAGAGTTTGAATCCGAAACACCAAACGCTTTTGCAAAACTTGAATTTTTCTTCAGATCTTTAAAGCAGGTAGTTTATTATCTTAATTATTTGTTGCAAAAAGAACCTTGCTTAAAATAAAAAACAATACCAAAAAGTTAAAATAAACTTATTTAAATAATACTCCGATATTTTTCTTAACTTTCCAAGGGGTTCATTTCAATCGAGGCTACTAGTTAACGTTCAGAAAAACTCTGCTCGTACATTATTCACGAGGATAACACAACATTTAGGTATATAGCTGTTGTATTGATTGTGACAACTAATAATTATCTAATCAAAAAATGTTTATATAGCAATTGAATACAATTTTTGTAAGTGAGCTTTATTCCACATGATTTATTTAAAAAGGTGGTATAAAAACTTATTTTTGAAATTTCAAATCGCGTTTTATTATAATTTTTCCTTGACTAAAGAAATGCAAAGGTAAAGTGAAGGATTGTGGAGGTGATTCTGAGAAATGTTAATTGACATTTTAAATAGCAAATATTTTAGATTTACATATTTTTCCAACTTTAGGTAATGCAACTTTTGCAAAAAGGCAACAAAGCACGCACTGTGGAACCAACAGCCATGAACCAAACGTCTTCTAGAAGCCATGCTCTGCTTAGTGTGACCGTTAGGTACGAACGAATGCTTACAACATGTTGCTTATAGTAAAAATGCTTTGAAAAACCAAAAATTTAACTTTGATTGACTTTTAATAATTTTCAATTATTGATAGGCATACTGTACCTGTAAATAAGAGAGATCATTTGAGGATGAGAATTAAGCAAGGGCGGCTTTTTATGATCGATTTGGCTGGATCGGAAAGAGCGAACAAGACCAAGAACAGAGGGAAACGGCTTCAGGAAGGTGCTCATATTAACAGGTAATTATGAAAATAATTAAAAGATGTAGGAAAATAATTGGATCCTTAAAGAAATTTCTTAGATCTTTTAAAACCATTAAACATTGATGTCATTATTTATAACCATCGTTTTTGAAATTACCGTTTTCTGCATTTCTGAAATAAAGTCGCTGTTGCTATTTTAAAAGATATTTATAGCTTTCACCGCCATTACTGTATTATGTTCATATTTTTCTTTGCAGTCGAGGTTAATGAAACTGTTGTATTACTAACTTAATATAAAAACGAAAATAATAAAATAATTTTTGAGGTTTACGAAATAATTTTTCTGACTACTTGTTTTTACTTAAAAAAAAACTACTATCTACTAAACTACTAAAAAAACAAAAAACTATTGTCTAGTAAATCAAATCGTTTAAGACATTGACCAGGAAAACCGTTGAATAGCCATTGTTCCACTAAAATCCATCTAATAATTTATATTATTACAAAGTCGCCATTCGCAGCTATTTCAGGAATGAAGCACGTGTCTAAGTTTTAAGTAAGGATATAATTGATTAGGCTTTCAAGCTAAAAAAGTACAAGTTATTCAGAAATTGATTCAGTCGAGTTTAATTTGGATACGTAAATAGCTAATGAAAATATATGAGGCGGGTTTTCTTTTAATTTTTGTTAGTTTACAAGAATAATTATTATATATTAAATGTATTAATAATAAATGGAAATAGTAATAAAGATTAGCTAACAACGTTTTGATTCTCTTCAATCTTATTACGCTATTATAATTCTATGTGACTCAATAAATTAACCACAATACTGAACGACTACTAATTTACCGGCAAATCGTTAATTCGATTATCATAAAATAATTGTAGGTAAATCGGTTTAATAATAGTTGCCTATCATTTTAAGAAAATTAAGAAAAAGCGTATTTAAGATATTGATTATATGATAATGATATATTTTAATTTTAGCAATATTTTGAGTAGTATAAAATAAATAAATAAACTTAGGTACAGACCGTATTGAAACAGTTAAATGTATAGAATCTTCGAAAATATTGTTTTTCTTAATTAGCGTTCTTTTAAATTTTTAATGGTGCCTATTTTGAAATGCCAATCACACCAATTACTCTATCGGCAACTACTCTATAAATCGATTTGACTACTAAATAAAAATGTATCAAATTATAAGGTTTTTGTAGCTTGATTATTGAATTTTAATCCGGAAATATTACTTTGCGCCATTGCCGAATTAATGGTTCAATAAATAATAGCTTTTCCGAACATGCGCTACGTAAATAATAAATTGCTATAGACTGAGAACACAGATTGGTTATTTCAGTGGTTTGTTCTAACGCGAAACTAAACGTTGAGGAACCATCAGCGTTCAAGTGCAAATAAGCACAACTTTACTTGCATTTAATTATTTCACACATAAAGGTATGTTGAAGTAACTGTTTGTTTGTATTCCCATTAACTTTTCGTGGATTGTCCAGAGAATAAAAACCTCCCTTGCACTATTTTGTTTAGGGCTGTAAAAAATCCTAAAATATTTTTATGACATTCACTTACAGCATTTGCAGCAATACTATAACATTTTCATTCATGCAAAATGACTGTTTCCATACATTCGTCCACTTTTCTTTTAGGTCATTACTGGCTTTGGGCAATTGCATAAATGCTCTAGCTGGAGGTGCGAGATACGTAAACTATAGAGATTCCAAGCTCACAAGATTACTTAAGGACGCTCTTAGTGGAAATTGTAAAACCGTGATGATTGCTCACGTGAGTCCATCAGCTAATCAAAAAGATGAATCTAGAAATACGTTGATATATGCCGACAGGTAAGAAAATAAGTGCAATTTAATTTTTAAATTTTGTGCAATGCTGCTTTGATCACTTATCCTGTTGGTATTGATCTTCAAAGCTCCTACTCAATAGAAGGTCCCAGCGGTGAAAAATTTACAATTTTAGATTCATTTTGAATTGTTTTTCTAGGGCTAATAATATTTCAACAAAAGTGGAACGAAATGTCTTCGATGTATCCTACCAGGTCACTCAGTATCAGACCGTGGTCAATGAATTACGAGCTGAAATTTCAAGGTATTTTCCATTTTAACAAGTTGCTTCAAAAACTCATTGTATTTTTGAAGGTTGCAAACTAAAATGAAAGAAGAACGTCCACGTTCAGCAGATATAAGCAAAATGAACGCGGAAGAGAAGAGTGAAGAAGTCAGAAATCTTAGAGAACAAATAGTTGAAACATTTAAAACGCAAATGAAACTCAGACGAAAGCTGATGGAAATTGATGCTCATTTATTGGGTGTGTATGCAAATGTTCATTCGAAAGAACTATAATAAAATTCGATTGTTTATTTCATTGAAGTTATTTTTGTTTTTAATTTCACTAACTCTTTGAGTTAGTGATTATTGAGTTAGTTATTAAATGTCAAGGCGTAATTTCAGGCCTTGGAATGGAAGCTGAAAGGCAGCATTTAATAATATCCCACTGGGAATCGAGAAACAATAAACTGTACAAAAATGGGGTGAACGCGAGTAGAGCCAGAACACAACAAAGCATAAGGTAGTCTGCTTTTTAAAGGAAGTTAAAGTATTTATTTTGTTCTTTCTTTCATGATTTGTACGTCACTTTAAATAAAATAACTCGGATTGATAGAAAAAAGTTTCTTGATTGTAGGAGAAGAAAATTAGCAACTGCCGACGGTTTTAGATCCGCAGGCAATGAAGAAGATATGGATTCAGATGCAGATGGAGAAGAAGCAGATAGTGAAACGGCAGGTAACTGGAAACTATATTTATTTAAGACCCTTTTTATAAAAAGTACAAATGTGAATTTTTGCGGTTTCTAAATTACTTTTTATAGTTAATTGCTTGAGAATGGTTTGGTTTTCAAATAGGTAACTTGTCGACTTTCAAAGTCACTTCCTTCCTCGTAAAATCAACTTCAACAACTTCAAGAACAGAAAAAAGATAATGTTTAACTGAGCGCAGTTTTATCCAAGATTCAGTTATCAGTTATCAGATTTTTATCAGTTTCAGAATAAATGCGGATTTTTTTTCGTTTTTTCATTCATTTAAACGTTGAAAGAAAACTTGCGTGCCTTTTCTCATCAATTCCTCAGCATTTTTTTATAAATTAAATTTTACCAACTAATTTACAGTCCAGCAAGCATGGGGAGAGCTGGCAGATATTGAGAGAGAGCAAGATAGGTGGACGGAATTAAGGGGGCATATTGAGCTGAAGCTGGAAGCATGTAGACAAAGAGGCGTTATGTTGGAAGACGTAAGTTTCCTTAATAAAATAATGTAATAAATAAACTGAAATCTATTCCAACAAATTGAACCAGTATCACAAATATACTCACTGTCATCTTCTAGAAATTGCCTTCATTGCTCTCATCAGATGATGAACGTGAAATATTAGCTCTAATATGTAGAGTTCATGAATTGGAAGCAGATAAAATGGCCCTTCAATCGGAAAGGTTAGTAAGACAGCATGAATTGAAACGTCGAGATTTGCTGATCATCAGGTATGATCGACAAAGGCAATTGTGCGAAGAAATTATTACTCGACAGCGGCAACTGATCGAAGGTACTATAATAAGTGATTTAGAAAATAGTCCTAAAACTTCAGAATTTCGTCTCTATACAGAAGCAAAAGTAAAACTGCCATCTGACCTGCAAGAACTATATCAGATGTATCAACAGGAAATTCATGCGGCCACTTATACCGACTTCAACCCTCCTTCCACGGCTGGCGGTTGTTCAATAGATAAACTTCCTCCCATAAGTAAAATGTAAGCGCTAAATAATTAATTGTTCTCACGTGTACAGTAGCATATTTCGTGTGTATTCGTAACTCTATTAAATACTTATAGTTACAGCGATCCCATGTTTAGACCAACTTTAACATCAGATCCAAGTGTCTCTCCTCCTTCTTCATCAGAAAGTGGAGGAGACGAGAACATGCCTAAGGAGTCCAGCATAGATAGAGTCATGGGACATGTAGTTACTAGACCAGGAGCTGCAACGCGATTGCCACCTTTACCTCCAAGTCCTCCTATTCGGTTGAGCAGTATCTCAAAAGATTCGGCACAGTAAGGAATATTAGTATATATTTTCATTCAAATTGAGGATACAATAATACTAGAAATTTTCAATCTTCTGAAGGAGAAAACATTACATGTTTGCAGTTGCCGAAGAAAATGGTGTTAAATTCAATTTCATCTACTCTATAGTTCTCCCATAATGTTATAATTGAGTGCGTCATTTAGTTAGTGCTGAAATTGCCAACTTATGCAAAATATGCTAAAATAATTCAAATTTTTTTTCAAATAATTTATAACATACTTTACGATTATCAAATCTGATGAGCGATTAGTATAAATCTGCTGATTGCAAAATATGTTTCTAAAACTTCCCTCTGAATATGTTTTGCTTATGTAGTGCGTTTAGGTACATTTTAGTGACTGGCGTTTTTTTACATTATACCTAACTTTTAAAAATTAAAAGTTAAGTTAAACAATGAAAGCAATTTCGCAATTTTCTTCATAAAAGCAAAATGTTTTCCATGATTGTTGAATTATTTTTGATTATTGTTTGATCATTTCATGATTGTGCAATAACTCATTATTTATTTCTCAATTTAGTATCATGCGAAGAGCTATCAGCGAGGACAGGATAGCAAACACTCCTGGGCCTTCGTCGAAAGATTAATTTAATTACTTAAGTCACTTGTAAATACACCAGTAATTATTTATATTTTTAAGTAAATTGATATTTATTAGTAAATTTGTAATTGATAATAAAAATTAAAACAGTACTTTCTCAAATACATTGATTTTATCGAACGGGGCAATTTATTAAAACCATTAGTTAAAACCAAATGTGTACTTAAATTTAGTATTAAATTTAATTCTGCTAAACTTTTGGGTTTCGCACTTAAAATAATTTTAAAAATTCTTCAGTTATACATACAGGGTGATTTAAAATTGGCGCCATGCCTTTTAACCGGCTATAGGGGCTCAGTTAGAGAGTTTTCTAGAATATTACAGTTGAAGAATTCAATCGAAGATCGAATTTCAACATTGTTATTAAGCATGATTTTGAAAAGATCGTATGTTTGATTGGCATCCTATTGGAATACTTTTTCGAAAAGAAAAATTACGATCTTTGCTTCAAATTACGAAAATTTTTGATATTTACACAGTCTTCTACAATTTTTTGATGAAAAGTCATTGCGGCAATGATGTTTTTTGTAATTAACAGACAGTTACAGGTAGATACACTTTGCCACTAATAACAATAATTTGATAAACTGTGACTTATTTTGAAGCTCCTTTCACAAAATGTACACCAACAGCGAATTTGCGAATATGCGATCAGTTATGGGTAAATGACACATAGCAGGAGCTGTACGAATCAGCAAAAAGCTAGAGACTCCAGAAATAGACGCAGATAGTGGACAATCTAAAGGTGCTATTCCTAGAGAAACACCTAGAAACAACCTAGAGTTACACACATTACCATGTGTGTAAGATACACAGTACACTAGAACACATTAAATTTCTGACCTTCTGAACACCGGTACAAATTGAACAACACTTTAGCTGACTACTGCCAAAAGGGCACGAAAAATGATTGGGACACAACATGATTGGAGTTAAAAGGGCACAACTTCGAACACTTCTTGTGATTTAAAAACTTAATTGTATTTTATTTGAGCGATAATATTGATCAATGATACATAACCTTTAACTGGTGGTTTTGGATGACAGATGTGACGGATTTAGGTATATCACTTATTTACCCCAAAAAGGTGGCAGCACTGATGGCAAGGTGGCACTCTTGTCCTAACCTCAAAGTATGTTATTGTCTCTTTTATTTTCTTTGTTTAGTGTACGGTTACCGGAATTTTTCATAGTACGAAGGAACACTTATTTACGTAATGTTCATTAGGCAGATTACCTAGAAAAACATTATTGCCATCCTTATGATCTAGTTTTTTGCAAATATCTGAGTTCTTAATCACAATCTTTTGTTTTTAGTATTTTTACTATAGTGTCACGCGTAATAATTAAATAATCATTTTATTAATTAGAATGTTTGAAATCTATTTTTCATTTTTTTAAATAGAAAAAAAAGAATAACAATAAACAACTACATACTTCGCAACATTTCTTTAATTTGTCTTGTTGAATGTCTTAAATAACTTTGCTCAGAAAATTCATTTTTCGCAGAAATCACCGATTAATAATAGACAGAGGCTAGAAAAGATTCAGATTATAATTTTTTTAATAATTTTATCATTTATTCGTTAATTTTAGGCAGATTCGTTCAGAAAAATTATTTATTTATACATAAAATCAGGAAAATTTGCGCATATAGTTTAATAAAAGCAGATGATTGAAAATGAAGTAGCAAAATCGTGATTATCCAAAGTGAACATAACTCCAGTAGAACAAATTGTAGATTACAAACATTGTCGGAAAGACAATTCTAGCTTTTCGGTCGATCCAGATAGCAACTTCTTGTGGAGTCATTTCCGCCCAAGTCTGTTGCGCTGGATTTGGAGTAGGATTGGCTGATCCTGAACCATTATTGTCTCCATTAGCCGGAGTATTAATAGAGGGGACATTTAAAGAATTTGTAGAACCCTACGAAACAAATGGTGCAGTTAAGTCTTCATAGCGCAAACAATATTCATTTTGAAGTTACATTCATAATGTTGTAAATGAGAGTCAAATAGAAGTTTGATAACAAAAATATATTCTGTTACAAAATTATTTATCTCTAGATATGTGTCTTCATATAAAAGCCCTTAAAATTATTGGATGGAAGCAGGAGAAACTTGAAAAAATAAACTAGTACAGATCATTCTAGTGATGCGGAATCTGAATGGGTTTCAAACAAATTTATTAACTGATTAATTTAACTTTACTTTTCAAAAAAATAAATTATCTAGTTACTTTTATCAAGTAAGAATATTTTGGCAAGTCTAAGCAAAAAAAAATTTTTGGAAAGTTTCTAATTTGCATCTTTGAACATTTGTTTATTTAATTTGGCAATAAATATAAACTGGACCATTAATTGAGAAGCTTTGAAGATTGTTCAATAGTTTCCATTAAAACACCACAACTTACATGCTCAGCCAGATAAGTGTCTGCCTGTTTGGAATCCAGGCTGGAAAATGATGCGGATTTCCTCAAATCCTGTCTTGCCATTCTGGGAGAAATTGCTCCTTTAATAATGTATTTACTGCTGTGCTTTACAAGCTCAACTTTCTTCCTAAAATGTAACTGACAATCTAAATACATTTTTCAGGGAGAACGTGTTTCGAAGTAAATGTTTGAGAACTCTTGAAATATATTTTGGGCAAGTTTTACCGAGCTTTGCACAAAATCGTTTGAGCGAACTTTAGTTAGCAATTTCGATTACTAGCATATTGGAGGAAAAATTTAATTGCAAAATTTTTAAACAATTCAGAATGAACGATAATTATTGGGTTTGAAATAATTCAGTGGGCTTCGAATCCACGAAAAGAAAATACATACTTTCGCCTCCAAATTACGTTAACAAAAGCAAATTCCGCCAATGAACAAAATATAAATGCTGCACCACCAAAGAACCAAATTTCACTGGCTTTCACATAAGGCACTTTGGGAAGGTTCTTCATTAGGTTTCCGTTCAGAGTGATAAACGACAGCATTGTAGACGTTCCTAAAAATTGGATTTTTAAATTTGAACTATTCGAGTGAGAAGCAGTTATACCCAAGACTGTTCGAGGAGGCGCAGCATCAGCTTGTATCCAAAACGAAACCCAGGACATGGCTATTAAAAATATGGAGGGCAGGAAGAATTCCAAAATGTAATAGCCAGCCTCCCTTTTTAATTGAAAAGTGAAAATCAGCGAACTGTGTGGATCTTCTGCAATAAGCAATGAAGTATATTATAGTTGGAAAAACATGTGAAATAGCTCACTCCATTCTCTGCTAGAAGAGTTGCTTATGGACACTTTGGCATATTCAACGGATATACCATCTAGGGAAAACTCTGTCAGTTGTAAATCATCTGACACAATATAAGGATCATTTTTAGACCACTGGAGTTGGAGACTAGTTTCATTGTAAACCCCTAGAAGAACACATTGTTATCTACTGTGCTAAACTTGTGTTGCTGCAAGTAAATTATTAAGAAAAGTAATGTGAACGCAGGTCAAAATGTACGTCGTTTGAGAAAAACAAGCTGCGGAAAATTTAACTTTGAGAATGGCTTTTCTACAGTTGGTCCTAAACCTGTAAAGTTAATAGGATGAAGGCTGGGATAACCAAACTGTACTCTCTTTGGCTTGGTTTGAAATAAAATTACTTGTATTTTCCATGAGTCAAGATTATGGAAGAATGGCAGATAAAACGGAGTAGAAACATTTACAGGAATATTTTTTGCAACATGAAATCAAGAATAATTTAAAGAAAAGGTGTCATCCAACATTTCGGTAAGGCGCACCGGTTTTGAAAATAATAGGATCAGAATTGTAATGGGAAATACAGGAGAGCTTGATTGTTATCCATAGAATAAAATATTTCATAATTTCTGTTAGATTGATGGAAAGTGATGAACATGTTTCAATTTAGACAAAATCAGTAATTCGCCCTCGTTTCATACGGCTTTGCGTAATGCGTTTATGTGTGCAAATACTTACAGCTCGACCAAATTAGCTGACAAACTTGCTGATCAAACGGAAATTTCCTGAGATTCATCGAGCAGTAAAAAGTGGCGGTCATTCTATATGAATATGATACATGACCAGTTGGGGTTATTTGAATAAAAACATCCTTCCTGAAATAGATAAGTAATAATTTTTAATTTATAGAGATAAATCATAAATCATTTACGTTGGCCAACCTCATCAAAATTAGTAGATATTAGTATATGTAAGTAATATGTGTATATATATGTATGAAGTAGTAGTAGTGTAACTAAACACTTTTTCAAACTGCTCACCTATCTAGGCCCATCAAATACGAAGTTTTCTCGTTTGTAATAAAAAGATGCGGAACCCATATCTTCGCCTTTAAAGCTTCCTGACCCACCACCATGCCTCTATTTGGGGATAGTTTTTCAAAGTTCAGTCGATCATCTCTAAAGTGCGTTTGAACTAACATGTGAGTTTTAAATTGCTGTAAAAGGTAAAGTAAGCCGTTTGTTTTATACGTGATATTTTCTTACGAACTGTATTGCCGATATTCTCAATGTGTTTGACGTCAATTTGGAAAACAACCTGAACGGGCAGACTGCTAGGTGGCCTAGAAAGATGGTCATACCGGCAACTGTGAGTTAATTGAGAAATGAAATCCTCCTGAGTCAAATCGTCCAAATGGGGCTCGAACGGATGGCATGTAGAGGAGATATTTTCATATATCCTGCAGCAGTCAAACAACGCAAAGTATATGCATAAAGAACATATTAATTGAATCCAATGAATGCTTCCGTTTTATAAAGACAATTAAAGACAATTTTTCAACACCAATTAAATGAAACAAGACAATACCTCTCATATATTGCTTCACTCGTTCCGATTGTAATCCAGCCTCCACACAAAACCACCAAAGTGAACTTCATGTTCCACATTGGAAAAAATGTGATGTTAAACCTATATGGTACGTATCTGAAAGATTCAGCACATTATAGTGAGTATTTGGCATTACTGAAGTCACCAGGGACGTAAAAGTATAAAGCAAAGATGTGCTTAGACTGTGCAAATACATGTTTTATTCACTCCTGTTGTGTTGTATTGTTTACACTCTGTTTTATTATTGGTAGTAAAGTTGTTGTGCCGGTTCGATTTTCTGTTTGTTCGTATCTACTTTCTAAGTGCCAACCATATACTAATAGCATTTATTTGGCAAACAATAGGTGTTATAAAATTGCAAATGCTCTACATTCAGTTCAATAAAAGGGAACAGTGGTGGTTAAGGTGGTGGTAATGGATTCCGTATATTTTGTTAATAATTTTTTAATTGCGCTTAATTGTCTAAAGCTCAAACTATATTTAATTTTCATTGCATACATGATTATGCCTTTTGTTGCGTATTAAAATAGCACATAATTAAACTTATCAATCAATATATGGGTTTTTTATTAGCGTTAATCGCTTTCAATCTTGTTCGTTCTTCGAAACCTTATGGAAGATAATCTTAAAAAAATATTTTTATGTATGTGAGGAAATATATTTTGTGGCAGATTGGCTATTGGTTCTAGTTGGAGAAGCCTAGTCCTGGAAAAATCGTTATGGATTTAATAATGAACAATAGGATAATTCAAAGATCACAAATTAGATGAAGGGCTAGTTTTCAGCAGACTACTCAGTATATCAGATGATTTATGATATCAGTTGGTTTTTTCAGACTATTCCATAATTTCCTGCTGCTTTGCCTGAGTCCCTTTCTGATGTAAATCACGTCTTATGATCGAATGTTTCATTGAGCCAATAGCTGCCAAGCTTGTGTTATTTATATATTTTTTTTAATTTGGATTGATTTCTTAGTGATTTCTTTCTTGAGTTTTGGTTATTTGTCATTAGTTTTACTCAATTGTCATATTTTCCATGCAATTTAATTTATCCTTATCGTCTGTTATATTTTTGAGACGTAATTGTTAACTTAATATTTGTTCTGCTGTTGGCCAAGACTCATGGATTATGCAATAAAAATTTCCTTCGTATGCAGTTCGTTATTGTTTTTTTTGCACGCAAGTGTTATCAGTTCGTTCATTCATACAAAATTATTGATCGTTTCCTTTCCTATTTTTTTCTTCATTTTTATGATCTTCATTTATAAAACGTTAAAATTGCTATTCTATATTCTAACCTTGTTGAATTGGGTTATAAATTGTCGTACTTATTCCTTTAGAAATTAAATGTGGCTACTAATTAAAATTACTCTTCACATTTACGTTACCTCTACTTACAGGTTAATTCTGGTATCCAAAACAAATGATCAAATTTGTCAATTGCTTTATTTGCGAATTCAGTTCTTCTGTTGTAAATAATTATTATCTTATATTCCATTTAATCAAATACAAATTGTATAAATTAATTTAATAAAAAGCTAGTTTTTTAAAGTTATAGTATGTCTTTTCAAAGTTTACATAAATAGAACTTTCACTTCTTTGAGTTTTTCAAATGCGTATAAATGAGACTATTATCGGGTTATTCAAATCTGTTTATTATCAACAAGCTCAATAGAGCATCCATAATTAATTGTGAGAAATATAAAAGTTTCCGGGCTAAGATAAGAACAGTAAATAAATATGTACAAAGTTGCTTAGAATATATCACATAATGTTCTAATCTAAAATAATGCCATACTATTTTATCAGATCATCTATCATATTTCTTGTATGTACATAAAACAGTTCAATTTTACCTTTGTTGAAATGATTCTAATCAAATTTAACTATTCCGAAATTTACTAAGTTGACTTTATATAGAACTTTAGCATTCAACTGATGATATCCGCTATTTGTTCTAAAAGATTTATAGAGAGGGAGATTTAAAAAGTTATGAAGATGCTGTGTTAGATAAGGTGATTTGAAGTATAGTCTCGAAAAATTGTAAAGAAGGCTTAGCGTTGTATTTACTAACAGCAGAATAATAAATTAAGGAAATAATCATTTTTTGTTCAGTTAGTACCTTGATATAATCTGCTTATCTCTCAACGAAACCAGATCTAGAATAATATATTTGCATATTTGCTCGTATTGAATATTACGACAAAAATGTTAACATCGTTAGTAGTTTTAAAAAATTACAGTGCAGAGAAGCATCTGTGGAAAACAGAGTATATTTATAATAAGATACAGTCTAGAGTAGGTTAAGAAGCATATTTTATCTGGGTTAGAAGACTGTGCAGCAATTCAATTAAAACATTCATTTCCACTTTTTTTGTCGAAAATAGCTTTGATAAACGAAAGAGTAGAAACGATTAATAAATACAAGAACTTCTTCTAAAGATTTTGTTTTAGAAGCATGTTAAAGTATAAAAGCGAATAGTAATTGACTAATTCAGAAGAAACCTTACAGTATTACATTACTCAAAAATATTTGAAATCGGATAGTTTCCTCGTCTGAATGGTGATGGCGGCAGAAAAGTGTTTTTTGTTTACAATTTTGAGTTGTTTTCAATCTCTTTACTAGCCCCAAAATAGCAATTCTCTTGAACGAATTTATTATTTCAGTAAGGTTATGCGTCAAGCAAATATTGAAAAAATGTGTTATTATTCCCTAATACATGAAAAGTGCTTTTCGAGACTTTTTGATGGCTTTACGCGGCAATAAAATATTCTCTATTACAATAGGTAGACATATCCCCAGTAGAACAAATTGTAGATTGCAAACATAATCGGAAAGACAATTCTAGCTTTACGATCGATCCAGATTGCGACTTCATGAGGAGTCATTTCCGCCCAAGTTTGTTGCTCTTGAGTGGGAGTTGGAGGGCTCGAATCTGGAGCTTTGTTTTCTCCGTTAACTGGCATATTAATTGTTGGCACGTTCAAGGAATTTGATGAACCCTAAATTTTGAAAGAAGATTTATATGCAATCAGTAATATTTATTAATTTTATATAATTAATTTAGCTGAACTTACATGAACAGTGAGATATGTTCCAGTGTGTTTTGAGTCGAAGCTAGAGAATGACTCTGATTTCCTCAAATCCTTCCTTGCCAGTCTTGGAGATAGGGCGCCTTTAATAATGTATTTGCTGCTATGTTTGGCAAGCTCCAACTTTTTTCTAAAATCACAATTTTTGGTTCAATATGAGTAATTTCTAAAGAATGCAAAGGATTATGAAACTCTCCACTATATATGTAGGTTGATCACAGTTATTTCTTACTTGCGCCTCCAAATTACGTTAACAAAAGCAAACTCTGCCAGCGAACAAAATATAAATGCGGCGCCTCCAAAAAACCAAATCTCGCTGGCTTTCACATAAGATACTTTAGGCAGGTTCTTCATCAAGTTTCCATTGAGGGTAATAAATGAGAGCATAGTCGATGTACCTGCAAAAAAGTTGTTTAAAATGCGCATTTGTTTGAAGTACGAAGTCCTACCTAAGACTGTTCGGGCAGGCGCAGCATCAGCTTGTATCCAGAAGGAAACCCATGACATGGCTACCAAAAATATGGAAGGTAAGAAGTATTCTAAAATGTAATACCCAGCTTCCCTTTTCAATTGTAGTGTGAAAACCAACGTACTATAAGCTTCCTCTGAAATATTGTAAAAGCTCTGCTTAAATAAATTTCTTCCAGGAAATTACGGAAATCAGAAAATGGATAACAATTACTTACTCCATCCGCTACTAGAAGCATTGCTTATAGACGACTTTGCATAATCCACAGATATGCCAACCAACGAAAACTCTGTCAGTTGTAAAGTTTCTGACACTATATAAGGCTCAGTTCTGGACCATTGTAGCTCGAGACTTGATTCATTATAGGCCCCTAAAGCGCAACAAAATAAAATTAGGGGAAATATTTTATTATTTGAAAAATACTTACAGCTGGACCAAATCAACTGGCAAGTTTGGTGATCGAATGGAAATTTTCTCAAATTCATCGAACAGTAAAATGTGGTAGTCATTCTGTAGGAATACGATACGTCCCCAGACGGAGTAATTTGAATAAAGACGTCTTTTCTAAAATAATTAACTACCTGATAGCAGTAACTTTCACTCAAGTCCCTTGATTCCTTACCGATCCAAGCCCATCAAACTAGAAGACTTTTCATTTCTAACAAAAATATGAGGAACCCATATTTTGTCCTTCAGCGTTTCCTGGCCTACCACATTTCCTCTATTAGGTGATAAATCTACAAAATTGAGCCGTTCATCTCTGAAGTGCATTTGAACAAACAAGTGAGTCTTAAATTGCTGAAAACTTGGCGTCAGGTACAAGAGTTCAATATTATTTTTGCTGCTCTTACAGTATTGTCCACACTTTCAATATGTTTGACATCAATTTGGAACGTGACTTGAAGAGGCAGACTGCTGGATGGTCTGGAAAGATGATCGTATCGGCAGCTGTGTGTTAACTTGGAAATGAAATCTTCTTGGGTTAAATCGTCTAAAGGAGGCTCAAATGGGGGACATGTTGACGTGGTATTTCTCTTCACTCTTACGTGTCCCGGCATGGACAAGTATCTGAATAATTGAAATATTTATTATTTTGTTTTGCAGTCTCGTAAATATTCATTGGACTCCTTAAATGTCGATTCATGTTAAGGTGATTTACTAAGGCAGACCGATAATTTCAATTTAATTTATTAGTAAACAAGGATTAAGCATTTCAACTTATTTTGATGATTTCAGATGCATATGATATAATCAGACAAAATTTAGACTGCATTGTATTACTGACGTATAATGAATTTCCAATCGTTAAATTTACAATAGAGGGAAAATTCCTGCAGTTATCAGGTGATGTTCCACGTGCGTCAGTGAAAGCTGATTTGTTCATCAGAGGATTGAGGAAAGATTACAATGCCAGAAAAGCTTAAGTCATGCAAAATTACAACACTGATTAGAGCAGATTTAATTTCATATTGAAATCGAATATCATTAGTTGGTTAAACAAGTTTCTGCAATCAGATTTTGAACAAACTGTGTTGTTGCTAAGCCATCGTTCTGAAAATGCGTAAATATCGAATGTTATTATCGAACGAAAACGCAAATTGATCCAATTGCTTCTAATGCTATCAAAAATAACATATTTTTAACTTGTTGTTCTTTATTGTTAATTTTTTAAGAAACTGCTAAGCTGTATTATTGCCGTATTCATTCTCAACATGTTGAGCAATTTCTAGCTTTGTCAACAGTTAAAGATGAATTGGTTTCTGAAATAAATCTATTTAAAAAATCATGAAAATGAAAAAAAAAAACGAGCCGTTGTTGTTCAAAATTATTCGATTTTCTCTTCATTTCTTTCATTCTTATTAATCGGAGTTTTTTTTTGCGCCAAACAGTCTACTCATTTCCTACAGTTATTACTCATAATGTACTTCATCAATTATGTCTTTGCATCAACTTATTACTTTGCTTTTGCTATCACCAGATTTATACATTCTGTTAAACTGTCGTAATTCTTTTCGCAATTTTTTATGTTATGTTTTATGTTTTATATTTTTGCATGATCATAAAAAACGTAAAAGTGAGACCGCCGATGTAAGTTACTATTGGGTTTTAATTGCCCAATTCTTTTAATGGTCCGATATTTTTATATACATAAATCGATTTTTCGGATTCTAATAATCCAAATTCTTAATATTTGGCGTTTTACAGCTATATGGAACGTCTAAAATATTATCTATTGATGTTTTTGAAATTAAAGACATGTAGATTTAATATCTTCCTATGTAGATATTCTGTTAAAGATAGATTTTAAAAATTATAGTAATAAAACTACAAAAACCCCTTAGATTTATAAAAATTAACGACAAGTACGACTGAATTGAGAATGCCCAAAATGAACATTGATAATGTTCTTCTATAGGTTCAAATAAAATTTAATGATGAACTTATATCGAACAACACAAAGAATGAAAAAAAAATTATCAATTGAAATAATTCATGTCTTTGGTGTTCACAACTTAAGAAAAATTTAGGAGTTTAAAGTGAAAAAAATTAGAATGCAGGTGCTGACTTATGGAAACAAAACAATAGAGCAGAAGAGAGACAACTAAACATGCGAAAACGAATTTGCACCTCTTTTAAAAACTTCGAAGCTGAGACCAGCACGGTGAATTTGTGAAGCTATTAAAAGCCAATACCCAATTGAAGCAAATGGTAAGACTCCTTAGTACTGCGCCTGATAAACCCAGCGGTCTTCAGTCTTTCACAATGTATTTCACATTGGCATAGACAGAAAAAATTAAATAAACCACAACAGATCAAATTCGCTTAAATAGGAGATCTATAAGAGAGATAAGAGAGTTTTTTATTCAACGAGTGCGTGCTACGAACGCCGACGTTTTTGCAGATTTCAAAGCGGACAAACTGCTTTTGATATAATTGTTTTGAAGATTTATCTCACTACTGCGCTAATAATGAACTGATGAACGAGACACAGGAGGAATACTCATGGATTGACCGAATTTATTATTATAGTAAACTACAAAATATCATATTAGGCTAACTTAAGAAGATTAGCGAATTATGAAGATGATGAAGCCTTAATGACAAATGTATCTGAAACACATGGAGGAATTTATGATGATATAAAATAAAAGAAAAGCAGTGAAAATTAACTGTCAGTGCCCTTGCTTAAGATCATCACAATAACATCTGAATCAGGTCATTAAAAAGAGTATTTCTTTCCTTGTGTGCTCAATTTTCACAGTTCGGATGATTTGTTTGTCCATCTTCTACATTACTACCAATTTCAAGGCTCTAGCGCTTGCCTCTTTTTACTACTGATAGATGATAAAAATAATTTTTCTAAGTCCTATTAGAACTGATACAAGGTGGAACTAATTTGGGACATTTAGTTTTCATGGCAAGTGCTAATTAACTTTCGAGAAACATGCGGACGTTAATGCAAACAATATGGGTTTTAAAAAGCCTAGATGAGATTTTTTTAAATGCACCATATGTATTCAGATCCTCGAGGCAAAGGTGTATATTAACCTCTTACCTGGTTTCACTCCGTGTTGTTCCAACCCATATTCCGCACAAAATCACGAAAACAAACTGAATTTTAGCCAATTTCCACATCAAGAGCATTCTTATTAATTTGTTGGTGTCGATCTTAATGCCAAGCCAGATGATGAATGTTGCAAAGCCTAAGCACCTTGTTGGTAATTACATTATTTAAATCGGCAGAGGTGTAAAAAGATAACGCAAAGACGCGCTTAGCCTGTACAAATAAATATTTCAGTCGTTCCTGTTATTAGGTATGCACACCCGATTATATGGTAGGCAATAAAGTTGCTCTAAGTATACATGCGGTATTACTATAACAAATTCGTTTCCTTTTGTTTCTACCGTTTTGCCAATGCTCTTTATGTACTAACGGTTTACTAATTGGGATTGTGCTATTAACTTGCCAAACACTGAGGGTCGTAAAAAACGTAAATGTCGTAAACTCGACTAATTTACTTGGAACTGTGATTGATTTCTGTATGCCCATGTGTAAATGAGATTAGCTACTTTACAATTCAGTTCTAAAAACCATCTATAAAAAGACTAGATTTTCAGAAGTTTGACTTAGTTTAAAATTCCCTGGTTGTTTTCGGTATTGAGCAGCAGCGAAATACAACTACATATGGTCTGGTCAGTTTCAAGTTGATTAAAAAATAAATTATTTGTTGTAAATCGAGGAATTGGTAACAGCAGCTTTTAAAATTTCCACATGTCTAATTTATTATTTCAATTCTTCAAACTCAAACTGTTGAAATGTACATAATTTATTGAAAATATCTAAATTTTCAATTTCATTCCAGTTGCTTGTCACCACTTGTATATCCTTATATATCAATTTCGACTTGATACGTACGTATCTAACAACTGAACTAACAGGTTACATTTAAAAATTCCAATTCTTACGCTCATGTTTGCATTATATCTGATGTTAGCGTAAATCAAATGTAATCAACTCGCCAGTTCCATCCAAGATATATGAAATTAGTTAACTATTGGGTAGATTCGTAATTAAATAATCCATATTTTAGATCAGAAAAATTAATTTCTGGCATCTCATTCCTGTGAGTTTTAATTAGTTTTTTTGATGAAACTAAGACTGCTTTGAATGTCGAAAGTCACTGTTGCTAGAACGACAGTTGAATATTTCAAGTACGTGCGTGAAATAAGAAAATGTTTACAGAAACTCAAAAAAACACGCTAGGGAAAGCTGCGAATTTCAAATAGTGACTAATCGTCTAGTTTATTTTGCGTAAAGATATTAATGTCATAGAAAACAGAGCGTCAATTCTCAATGTCGATTCGAAAATTAATAAAGCAAATAATTCGGCGGTCTTAAAAGAAAAATGCTTCTTCATTTTAAATCACTTGTAAATTTCCTTTGAATTTACAATTAGTGCGGACTGAAATATTTCACGAGTGCTCGCAAATTATGTCCACGATGTAATTTTAAAAATTGACATTTTTCTGGTAAAAATCTGGGACAAGGTAAATAAACTCGCCAACAGGATTATCATTTCTACTTTAATAACACAGAAAGTATAAAACAATATAAATACAAGTCAATTAACACTAGAAGGCAATATTTACAGTTCATAAATGTTTCTTATGAGAGATTCAAATATTACTGAATCGAACATGTTTAATCTTAAATAAATTGTGATGATATGTATGAGACAAATTATTTAACACCAATTATTCGTTATTGGAATGTTTCAGATCACAACGTTTCTACAACTGAACTAAAGCGCATACACAAATGACCAATAAAACAAGTTAAATATAATAAAAGCCACCGGGAATGCTATTCGGGACTTTTTGTCTATCCAATTGGCTACTTCGTGTGGTGTCATTGTAGTCCAAGCCTGATGTGGGGGCGAATTTCTTTTATCTCCATGTTTCCCCGGAACTGGAATCGTCGTGACATGGTCCTCAATGTTTATGAGCTCATCTTGACTGCTGTTCGGTATTTTGATCGTTGGAATTGATTGAATTGATGTTGGAAAGCTCTAAAATTTAATTGACTTCAAATTAAAGCAAAAACAGTTTAGGACCTAGGAGGCAAATATCTAACAGTACCATCAATTAATTATTTCCAATTCCTCCAAGTAATTGCGTTATATTTGTTTAATTACATATAAATGTTCAAAATTATTTAACTAACTACAAATTATGAAAGAATTTGATGTCAATTCCGGCCAACTTCGGATAACAAACATCCACGATAATGTAATTGCATGTAATGATCCGAATTAGGTTCAACAGAAAATATTGAAAAAACCTAAGTGACTCACTTACGACTATTTTTAGAACAGTACAATTTCACTAATGGGTTTATGAGCTCCAAGATATATTTAAAAATAAAATATTTATGAGGCGATACCTACGATATAATCAATTTGGGTGAACTATATTTGAAATTACAATATTTTCATGACACACATGCTAACGATATCAAGTGAATAATTTTACTTACATGTACAGTTAGATAATTATTTTGGCTGTTTTCTTTCTCATTCTCGTCGTTTTCATTCAAGCTTGTACAGGAGCGTGTTTTATAAATGCTATTGAAGGACTCTATGCGTCTAACGTGCCTTCTTGCTAAACTCGGAGTCACTGCTCCTATCAGGATATGTTTGCTGCTTGCTTTTTTCACTTCTACTTGCTTTCTAAAACAGGAATTTTTTAAATAAAAAAGTGCACTTTCTTTCCTAACGGATTTTATTTCCTAGTCAATGATTGTTACCGAACGAATTTGATGTGCCACAATAGCAAGAAGTTTTGGAGAGGGATTCAGGCATCATCTAATTATTTTAGTTTACGTGTAAATTAGACACAGAAAATCCTTTCATTCTTACCTTCTTCTCCATATTACATTGACGAACGCAAACTCAGCCATTGCACAGAATATAAATGTGGAACAACCCAAAAACCAAATTTCACTGGCTTTAATGTAGCTTACTTTTGGTAGATTTTTGGTAAGTCCGCCGTTCAGAGTAATGAAGGACAACATTGTCGATGTTCCTGTAAGAATAATATGGAAAATATTCATGATGATTTTCGTCATCAATTTTTCATGTGAGTCTTACCCAAAACAGCTCTTGGAGCGCTTGCATCTGCTTGCAACCAGAACGTAACCCATGAAGTTGCTACAAGGAACATGGATGGTAGAAAGTAATCCATAATGTAGTAACCGATCTCGCGTCGCAATTTAAACTTGAACGTTAAAGCGCTGTAGTTTCCAACTGCAACAAAGTTTATCATAAACATGCACGTGCTAACTCTAACTTCTGATTGTTACTGTGATGGTCATTTTTGATGGTCACAAATTTAATATTTGCAGGTCCCATTTAGAACACAACTATAATTTCAGGTGGAATTGCTAATGTCTGGCTGAGGAAATACAATTCCAGGACAGTTCAATGTGTGAGTTAAAGAATTACAACTTTTAAATAAATATATAAATTCAACGACGATATATAAATTCAACGAAGCAAATTTGATACAGCCTGAAGAAAGCACGAAGTCGTTGAGTCAGGCATTAAGACGCGCCACTTATCTGACGAGACATTTGATGCTCCAAAAAATATTTATTCTGTTTTTGAACTACTTGGGCTGTCGAATGAAGTAAACTCTACAAAGTAAAATCGAAGACAAAGTTGATCTAAATATTTTTACTTTTTATAACTCTGTACAGAAAACAAGCTGCAACAAATTTCACTTCTACAGCCTGTAAATTTGTAGCTAACATATGTTTTGGGCCTTTATATTTATGCATTTTGTAGCCATTAGATAAGCTAAGCAAAAGATACTGAGAGACATTGGCTATTTATTTTTATTTTTATCAACTTTTAGAAATTATTCGTTGCAGGTTTGTTTAATGTATTTTGCCAATTCTGTGTAAAGCTTGTGCTTTACTCAATTCATGCACATGTGTTGAAGCGCTAGATCGAAAAACCGAATTACATTTATATAGTTGATATTGATAAATCTGCATTATTGCTTTTTGCAGCAAAGGCATAAAGAAAATACAGACTTAAAAAAATTGTCCAATTTTTTAACGGTTTCAATAAACTACAGTGACTTTTGTTTTAACACTTTCTTTACAATAAGATACAAAAAAATTCAAGACCCAACAAGCAAAATGCATCATTTTTGGGCAATAACGATTGATTGGCAATTATTTTAGAGCAATAAAGTAAAAATAATTTGTTCTGTTTGGACGCCTCATGAATATTCTGGCCGTGCATTAACATATCCATGTACTGCTTTATTGCAATATTCATAACCTGTATATGTATTTGTATGATTAATGTTTGATTTAAAATTAGGACCTCAAAGATTTATAAATTTCCTAAAATATTTTGATTCAGTTAATGCGATTTTTTATATTTTCGTGAAAATAACGTCATATAATATGCATCTAACTCTGACTCACTCACTAGATAAGAGAGCTGAAAATAAACCAGCAAAAAGAAGGCAGAATATTTGAAGTACTAAAATGCAGACCCCGTCTGGTAGTGTCATTTAATTGACACAAATAATAATTTGTTATTGAAAAAACATCCCAAAAAGTTTCTAAATAACTGAAGATGAAGTCCAAAAGCATTGTACCACAAACAAAATTAGAAGATCAAATTGATTCTTTATGGAAGGATTATTCGCTGGATGGTAAATTTGAGAAACATTTTCAAACTTCAGTTCAACACAATAAGTTAGTTGCAAAAAGCGAGTAAATTTATTGCTTTTTAGCTCCAAGAGTACCCAATCCTATTCCCAGTCATACTCAAGGTAAGACATCTTATTTCACTCATTTGAAAGATTTTTCTGCTCTTTATCAAAAAATTTTTACTAAAACAGTTTGATTCAAACTGTGTAAAAAATATTGGACAAATTGCTAATTTTCCTAAAAAGTATCGGAGTTATTGAAGCTAATATGTAAGCTAAGATAAAAAAATATTTAGGTCTGAGAAGAACATGTATAGTAGTCCATCTTGTTCTTCCGTTGACAAAAATCATTTTTGGACTTCGATATATGTACGAGTGTCCCACAAATGCTTGGTTGCCCTACTACATGTTAGTGGGTGGATTGCTTCAATTAGCATTTATTGGCACCTTGGCCTACAAGCCCTTAAGAAAACCGGCTCTTCTAGGAGCTGTCGGACTAGCAGCACTTGTTTGGATGCTTATTGGTAAAGTTATACCACTATATCAATTAAAATGTAAACATTTTGTATTTTTTTTTTAGCATCCATCAATATTTTTGTGGAATGGAAGCCGGATTTTTTCTTCGGGGGATTTAGGTACTGCAACAAAAATCTGTTCTATTTTGTATTCTTTATTTCAGCTGCCGAATATATTATATGTACAGTGCTGCTGTTGTACATTTGCACACAGTTTGCGTATAGCAAAGAAAATGATATTACTTGGCAGGTTGTTTAAATATTTAAGTTGTTAAGGAACGTTGATTAGCAATAAATAAACATAATATTTAAATCTACCTAAAATATGTATATTTATTTGTTAAATATTAATATTGTATTTTTAAATTGTGTACTGACGAATTAGTTAAAGCATACAGACGATATAGAAGGTATTTGTAGCTATTTACGAATTTACATTATAAATATTGTTTGTTTCATTTAATTGTTCCCTGACAAGTTTAAGTCTTTACTTATTTACTGTTTATATTTTAATTTACTTTTTTATTTTCATTTTTAATTTACTTTAAATTAAACTATTTATGACATCAATTGCCCAAAAACTTTAAAAGTTTCACTTTTAATTTTAAGCTGGCGAAGGTATCAGGTAGCAAGCTTGTTTTTACATCATTATTTAGATGTTTGACAAATCCCAACAGTCTGACTTAAGTCATCATAAGCACAGTTAATTTAAAAAATGAGCACAATAAAAAAATCTATTGATGAACAAGATCCTACTGATTTCGACGCATCTGATGTGTCTGATATTGAACTTTTCGCTGATGCAGGTTTAAGAGAAAGGATGAGCAGATTGACCATTGGTGAGTCAAAACTACTCACAAATTTCAACGCTTGAAAGTACATTAAACGTGAGTGGATATTTTAATACACAATTTACTACTGAATAATTGATTAGCATAATTTAAAGTTTCTGTCGGTTTTTAGAAGAACGAATTCGTTACTTGGAGGGCGTAAGGAAGCATTTGAAAAGTCGAAGAGAAGCAGAAGTATTCACTCAGGGAATTATTATAGTAGTTGTGTTCGTAATATTGGCATTTCTGTTATATTACTCATCATAATTGCTGTATAATTTTCAATTAAGCTATTAAAAGTAAATATCAAATATGCCGAGAATTTAATTTCCATTTTCCACCAAGTTTGAATATTCATATTTCTATACCTATATCGAAATTGCAAATATATATTCTTTGATTGCACAGTATTTTTATTATTTACATTTGCAACTGAAATACATTAAATTAATTGACACGTACCTAAACCGCCGGTAGAAAACGACGCTGGAACTGTGCTGGCTTCGGTCCAAAACGAATCCAGAACAAACTCAGTAAGATGCAGATTTTTGGCAATTTGCACTGGATCTTCATTGGACCATTTTAGCAAGAGGTTAGTTGTATCATATGACCCTAAATACCATAAATAATAAAAATATGCGAAAAACATTGTGGTTAATATGCGGATTTGAATGAATGGATGTATGAATGAAGATCACGTATTGAAGGTCGTCTTTAATCAATTGACTAGGATGATTATCTAAAGAATTTTTAAAGTTTATGTAGAATATTAGTGAGTGATTCATGTGTGATAGGACATTACAAGATTTAAAAGGCGGCAACAGTGTAAAGCAAGTTAATTAATAGTTAGTTAGGAAGAAATACAGATAATAAATGGTACTCGTTAGATTAACTTGAAACTCGTGTAGCTTCAGTATCGTAAACTTTTGGCCTTAATACTGAAAATAAAATGCAACAATCAGGTAAAATATTTTAGTAAAACCCTCACTACTTCTTCATTGAATAGGACGTTTGTCACAAACACCTTTATGGCCAAATAATATACAATACGTTTTAAATGGAAAAAGTGATAATATACTGATTAGCATAGTGCACAATAAATTTTACATTGGGACAGAACTTTAACTGCGTTAAATTTAACCTGAATGTTACACAATTGTTTTAAAGAACAACGACAACAACGTTAATTGTTATTACCTTGTTATGTCAACACATGTTTAGAATACTAAAAAGATTGCTTTGGTCAAAACGTCAGAAAATCATTGTTTGTATTTAGTAATCGCTCAAGAACTTCAGGTTTGATACAGTTGCAAATCTTATATCATAAGACGCTAATTGTCCGAAATTGATTTAGAAAAATCGCTTCTGATTAATTCCGATCAATACTGATTATAGTAGAAAAATAAATCATTGACACGTTTTTCAAAAAAGGAGCTGTTTAGGACACGCATTCAACAAAATATTAAATGTACAAAAGTTGAAAATATGCATTTACTTTAAGTTAGTTCTTACCGTTTGTCCATAAAATATATTTTTTTTTATAATTTAAGTATTAGTTAAATATAAAAACTGTGAATAAAAACAATCTGGTCAGGAATCTGTTATTTCAAAAGTGAAAATTTTCTTTATGTGTGTTTTGATTTAATAGTGTTTAAACCAGCATTATTTTGGTATTAGTAACATTTAACAATATGAAAACCCATTTCCAAAAACTGCAAAAAGGTTGACAATAATGATAGCAAATGAATAAATAACTTGAAGTTCATAAAGAGAAAATATTATTGTAATCCAAATATGACTTACAACTTATCCAGGTAATCCTGCATATTTGATAGTCGAACGGGAACTTTTTTAAATCCATCCAGCAATAGAATGTAAGCGTCATTCGGTAGGAATAGTTTACTTCGCCGTCTGGCATTACTTGCACGAAGATGTCTTTACCATCTAGACCCATCATAGAAGACTCCCTAGATCAAATAAAAGGAATTGCCAATATTTTATAAAGTGCACAAATTATTATTTGGTTTGATTTATAAAACTCATAGAGTCGTTGTTTATCAATTTTGAACTTTTGGAAGCTCGCAATAGAACTTGAAATTATTTATTATATGCTTATTAATATTAAATTTTATTTATTCCGAAATTTATCAGTTAATTGGTCGTTTTATTTGCATATCTATTCTTACAGATATTTCCTACTAATCACCCAGTGGAAAACCAGTAGATGTTTTAGCTTACATAATATCAAATTTACCTCTCGTTTCGCACTGTAATATGTGGAACCCAAATTTTGTTCCTTAAAGGTTCCTCCCCTTGGATGCAGCCTCTTTTTGGAGAGTACGTGTCGTATTTCAGTCTCACATCTTTATACCCTAATTGTACCAGAATGTAGGATTTCATTTGCTGAAATATCAATTGAATAAATTAAATCCAAAATGGTATCAAAATGCCGTTCTAACATTGAAATTAATTCTGCGTTTTCTAAAAGTAGTTAGAGACTGTTACTCTAACTCTCTATAAATGGTGCGCTAAGATATATTTGGTCGAAATTAATATAAAGTGATAATTGAAGCTTCTTGTACCCTTGCAGTACATGATAAATATAGTCCTACAAAATTCTCCTAAATTTTATTCAGGATATTTATTCCTGCTATTATTTTATTATATCTCATAAATTGTTATGAGAGCTACTCAAGAATTCTGTATTATCATTGTATCGTTTTTAATTCTACGTAAACATAATCCTTGGGAATCTACAAGAGTCAGGTTAAATTAATTAATTCATTCATTCTTTTAGGATCCGCGACCAAAACAATATAATTGCGTTACAACGGAGGACCCGGGGATAGTTTGATAAGAACAACTCTTTCTCTTCATTTAATACACTTGCGTGGTAAAGTATTACTTAAATAAACCTAGCAGAATTATGGAACAACTACATCGGAGTAAGAAGATCAAGTAGCAAATCATCCAAGAGAACCCGAAGAATGTGCATTTTATTATTAAAGAATGCCATGTAAAACAGACTGGTAACAAATCAACCGTTATACAATAAATTTATTTAAAAAAAATATCGTCTCATACAACGAAACGACATTCTCATGTAATGTCTTCAATTGGTAAGCAAGAAAATCGGAAACTTTTATTTGCGCAAAAACTATTAGGGCTGCAACCTTTTTCACAAACTTCTCGAAAACGTGAGCTTCGAGTTTTGAAAAAAAAACGTGAGTTTTGTCAAGACACTATGAGAATAATTTACTATTTGCCCAATGAGGATGGTCGGTAGCTCCATCAAAATTTTAGTTTTACTTAGGAACACATCAACTGCAAGTTTCATTAAAATCGGTCGTAATATTCATCCGATATAAAAAAAAAACATTTCGTGAAGTGCCAGTAAGCAATTAACAGCATAAATCTTCGATAAAAGTTAAGTCTGATCGTCTTATTTTGAGCCTAAGAAAAGAATCATGCCCTTACAGACAACCTATATACTGCTGTTAATGTAAACATGTGCGAATTTGATCAAAATATCAATCGGCTGGGTTTAGTTAAAAAAAATTTTTATAATTTCCGCATTCCGATAAATATGTCGAAATAATCGACGGACAGATATTTGAAAGGTATGGTCTCATCGGGTGTTTTAGTTGGTACCTTTTAGTAGCATAGAAAGGGTGTTGAACTTGAAAAGGAAAATCGCTGGCAATTTTACGTTTGTTCGTTTTTTTTTCACGTGAATTCATAACAATTGTACGACTGTGTGACGTGAGTGATAAGTGTGAGCAGCCACAAGGATCCTGCCTGAGGGGAATTCATTCTTCGATTCCAAACAATATGTGAGTGCACTTTTAATTCTTAAACTGAGGCTTAATAGTAGTTAATTGAGTTCGAAAAAGTCTAAGTATGAACCAATGAATAAAATCACATTTTATATACAAGGTAGATACATTAGTGTTCGCGGATCAATAATGAAATTATATCAGAACACTGCTGATTCTTGCTTGCTATATTTTACTCTTATTTACAATGTTTCCAGACTAGGTATTTACGACAATCTTATTGAATACGCTAATTAGTGAGTAATTAAAAATAATTCGATTAAGACAGTAAATTTGCCAAAAAAATGCTGATAATCTTTGGCACGCGCCGCAACAGTAGTAAACGCCATTTGCCCTAAATTCGACAAATAATTACATAATTTGGAACATAGTTTATGGCAATTTAATTAGTGGTTCCTCACATTACCTTTGATGTCTAATAAGATAAAGACCGCCTGTTCCAGAAATGATAACAATCTAACAATGTTTTCAAGCAGGCAATAGGTCGGCTTATCTATAAATTCAGCTGTTGATTTGCCTATTCTTAGACATTTATTACTAGATTTCCAGAAAATCAAAATATATCAAAAATTAATCAGAGGCAATTCCAGGAGATTATACCGAATTTAACTAGTTTGTAGAATATTAGGCCATAAAGTAATATATGGATATTGGAAATTGCAAGGACCTGTGGTGGGATTTTATCAGGAAGAAACCTGATAGAATGAGTGTTGTGCAAAGAAATGTTTATAAAAGTATTAAGCGTCTCATTCTGAGCCAATCTCTGAAATTTTGTTCTTGTTAAAAAATTGACAACTTCGAATTTAAATCGGCACTATTTGCAACTTTAACACTTAATTTGCAACACTCTCTGCTGAGTAGTTTTGAGTCCCGTTAAAAAATTGTGCGTTTTCCTTTTATCCATACATTCATACAAAAATATGTTTTTTGCATACAAATTTTCCCATCAATAGAGTATAGGAAAATTTATGCTTTGTTGCTATTAATAATTTCGAAATTACATTTTCTATAGGGAAAAGTAGTGAAAGCGCAAGATATTGACTATTATACAGGGTGCGCTATAAACACTGTAGCACATATTATTTTCCCTACTGGCGCACTTCTCTTTTTAATTTAAATTCTAATTTCTACGAAAAAAGTAATTGCTTTTTGATACATAAAATAAGAACAGAATTTGCATAGTTTTTTAGTAAGTCGGCAAAAATTAACGTTTTCATGCTGATGAACTGACAGTTTCTCCTTTATCTTCATTTGAAAAATTTTGAAATTTTGCAGGAAAAAACGGTACTTTGTACAAAGTTGAAACTTTTTTTATGGAATCGAATATAACGGAGCGAATTGTTAATTGAAAATCAAATTTTCTCCGAAATTATAATATATAGTACAGGAAACGTTTAGCAAAAATTAAATATTTTCGAACCATAAATACAATAAATTGAAATATAAGGACCATGAATTTTTTTCAGTTTGAGAAAATACTAATTTTAACCATTAATATGATCGCTCGGTACTATTAACTACAAATATTTTGCATTCCATATGTTCCAGGCCCATATAACATCCTTCCTTTCTCCTTTCGAATTTGAACGTTTTGTGCTTAAAGATTAAGGAGAAATTCCCGATTTATTAGCACAATGAAAACTTTAATCGTTGCAACCGAATAGCTAAAAAAACTGTCCGATATTCGCTCATACTTTTTATAACAAAAAGTAATAAAAATTACATAAGAATTAAAAACTTAAATTAAATATAGGGTGTATATTTTTATCTACGTTTGGAAAGAAGAAATTACCCTTGGTCCCATCATTTTTCTTCAGGTTTTAGATTTTTTTAAGACTACGAATTATTCGCCAAAAGGTATTTAAATCAGAACATCCAGCAAATATCCAAGTGAACTTGAATTGTAAAATGCACTTCTTTTTAACGGCTAATCTAATAAAATATGTTGAAATGTAGTAATAACACGATTCGTTGATTTTTCGTCTTTTCTGAACAGCCTGAACACTAACTGAATAAAACAAAATTTCCATAAACTGTGAATGGTGAAAATGGAATATAATTTGAATGAGGGAATATTTATAAATACCTAAATATATAATAAGAGAAAAAGATCAAACATAACGTATTACAAATAATTTAACAGGGTAATATGATACTAATGAATATTTGTCATTTGGTACATTATTAATACGGCTTTGCAATAAATTGTGGTCGAATATAATAGGAGTAATTTCTCTGTTTTGCAGATATTAATTAAAAACGCATGACAATAGGCACATAAGAGACCCCTGTTTGAAAATAAAAAAGTTTGCAAAATATAAAAAAATATCTCACCTGTGCATCTGAAGATTCTATATGTGTCAAATCGATTTGCATGTTAACTTCGAGCAACTTTGGAACTGTCGGTTTGATAAGTCGATCATATCGGCATGAGTCTGTGAGTTTCGATGTGAATTCTTCCTGAGTTACATGATCCATTTCTCCCATTAAATTCATGGGCAGACAGCTTATGTCCACTGGTCTGGAATGGGTTGTTGTTTCAGTCGTCTGTTGCGTGGTGGTTGCTGTTGGTGCTTGTGTAGACGAAAGTTCTGTAAAGTTTAATCAATTTGGTAAAAGTGTTGGGAATTCGGATAAATTTACTTCTTCTGCGAAAAAATGTGGCTGCTACTTACCAGTTGATGTCACGTTCACTGGATCGTTGCTCTTTGTTTCTTCCACTGCAGGTTGTAGATTGGTGGAAAGGTCGCTTCCATTAGGTATAAACTGAACTGCTGATCGGGACTCTATCGAAGTCATTGGTATAGCCTGACTGAAACAATGTAATTGTACTGACTGAAACAATGTGACTGAAACAATTTTGGTAGTTTTTATTTTAGAATTATTTAAATAATACAAATGTGTATTTTTGTCAAAGAATAATGTTGATCTCATACATTTAAATTAACCAAAAAAGTACTTTCAAATAGGAATTAGGTATGTGTTGAAATATTAAAATTTTTCAAAATTATTTCATTTGGTTATCGTTTATGCTCTGTTCCAGCAAAAACAAGCAACACTAAAAAAACAGTTCAAGTACATTTTATAATTGTATGACAATTTTTCAACTTTACTTTGCTGGGATCGTTTGAGCTTAATTCAGTTTATGCCATAAATAATAAAGTTCTGGAAGACCTAAATACCAAATTTGCAGATTTGAAATTGGTTTTTGGGCGGATTTTATAGTGGCAAATTAACATCAAGTATCTTTTAAAAAATGTAATAGATAATTTAATATATGCCCAGAATCCCATGGAATCTGCTGATCTTGTTCAAGAATAATTGATCACAAAACTAGCAACCAAGCCAATAGTTAAGAGCATTGCAGCTGTATTTTTAATGCATTTGCTAAACAACAGCTTCTTATTAATAAACCCAAAGTGAATAAATATTTGCCATGAATTAACTTTGTTTTACGGCTCAATAGGTTTTTATAAACCTTGAGTCGCTATTCGGATTACGATACTTATCACTCGGCCTACTATTGCAATATGTCTACATTTTGTTGTTTCAAAGAAATTAATGAATTGGTCGATGATGGAAATGTCCCGACCATGAAAAGAGAATCAATACATTTACATTTTGACTACTGCATTCTAATTTGAATATTGTATCATCTGAATTATTCTTCGTATGGGGCTATGATTACACTTTTTCGATAGTTTTCGGTTTATTATGTCAATATACAAATTTTGTATATGTGGTAAGACAGCAAAAGCCGTATTTAAGCATGTCATGAATATAACTCCACATCTGATACAGTCAGATACATAAATGCTGTTGGTGTATGCCTAAAAAGTTCAATTTGACTTTGACCTACACTTATAAGACAATCTGCTAGAAATGTTTTAAACCTACCAGAACTTAGTAAGCAAATCGAAATTAAATACTTACAGGCCTGGTTTTCCTGACGCTAGGGATAAACCATATAAAAATTATAATTTTAAATTCTTGTGTAACAGTAAGCCGGTTTCAACTGTAATATTATACAGGGTGACTAAGAAAGCGATATTTTTATTAATTAACTTTACTGCGTGGTATTTGAACTAGTCAACTATAAAAATTGCATTACATACTTAATATCTAGATAAAAAAATTACAGACATAGTTGGAATGTTCCTCTGCGTTTAGTGCTAAAGTTTAAAGTCACAGATGACCTGTTTCTAACTACAGGAAAAGTGGAGCATTAGTTTATGATCAACAACAATTATATGAAACATGCTAAACAAATTACTTATGCATTTATAACTTCTATGTACTTGTGGTATACATACTCAATACCAATTAGGATTTTTCAAATCTGTTATGCAACTAAATTCCCGACTTTAGTTTAACATAATCTAAATTAGCAGCTTAAATTTATATGGCAGAAATCCAACTGAAAATCTGACTAATGCGATTTTCCGGAAATAAAATCAGCACGTGAACTTTCAAGATTTATAGAGCAGTAAAATAGTTGAAATTGTAATAGTAAATATAATCATTTTGTTGCGGTTACAGTCAGAACAGATAGGAATTTCATATTTGCCAGTTTGTTTCAGCATATAAAGATTAGATTATTAGATCGCATAATATGGAAATTAAACGGCTTTTTCCATCTATTAGAATGTATAATTGCACTAGTTAACTACTACTTAATACTAAACTACCAGATATAACTAGTTATGAAAAACTAATTATTTCACTCCAATAAAATTTCCAATCCCTTAATCATAAATGTATCACCTGCAAGTTTGAAAAATTCCAATCAAACCATAGTTGTTGACACATCGGTTTATTGATCAGTTTAATTATCAATAGTATGCCAATGACAATAACAAAACTCAGCTTTTAACGTCATTATTCTAGTACAATGCCACCACAATTAAGTTACTATGGCATGAAACATTTGTATTCGAATTATCGACTTGTCGCTTTTTCATGCTAATTAGAAAGAACTACAGATCTGTGAAAAATTTAGCTCACGAATAAGCGTTTAGTAGAGTTTGAGGTTCTAATTTCAATAGGGAGGAGAAAGTAGAAAATGCCATTTCAATTTTTAATAATAACATCATGAAAGAACATGCAGTCAGTGAGTTGAAGTGTAAATTCTATTCAGATCCGCAATTTTCTTAAACTTGTATCTAATTCCTTCATTTGATTCGAAGAAAATAGGCAATAATCTGACGCTGGAGATAATGTTAAGGTATAAAATGCAATTCAGTTTCCAAAAAAGTAATCAGTCCGACTGAGATCACCAAATTACACTTAGATGCTTAGAATACTTTTCTGTTTATTAAACTTTAGAAATAATATAATTTTTAATTTTTAATTGTGCATAATACCATACATTTATATAAAAATACATATGAAAATAATGAGCAGCATCACAAACTTTCACAAAAAATAAATTTGGTGACGAAAATTAAATTTATTGATTCGCTTTATAATTAAAAATCGAATTAGGGAATTTATGACTAAATAAAGAATGATTTATAAATAATTAATAAGTTGTAGATTGTACTGCAAATAATGATCTAGCAATATTTTATGCAGATAGTTGTGTAATTGTGCTTTCTGGGAAGTTAGAAAGAGCAAAACCCAGTAGAATTAGCTCACAGTTTACCATATTAGTAAAACAGCTCATAAATAAATTTATACTGCTGCAGTTAGAAATTTTCTCGATTTTGAGTGCATTGTTATTATTATAACTTCACTCAGCAAAGCCCCGTTCTACAGCAGGCATAATTTTTTGTTATCGAAAATATTGAACGATGGGTAATCAACAATTTTAGTAGTAATAGTACAAAGTATAGTAAGTACAAATAGTAGTACAAAAGTAGCAAATTAGAAACACGTCAAATTCTATTAATGAATTCTATTCCAATCCCAATAATCTTTGAACAACTTTATCTCAATCCTCTCATAGTAGTTATTATGGGTTTGGTCAGGGAATTATAATACAAGCAATAATCCTGCAATTGAATGTATGTATTTATTTATATTAAAAAAATCAGAACAATTATAATTGCCTACAATATAAATCATGTCGTAAATTACCATTAATACTTCTTCAAATGTATGTGGATACACTATACAATAAAACGACCATAAATTAGAGCAGGTAATCCAATCCAGTATTTTATAGTCCAATAAAAATGCATCATGGCTCCGACGCACGACTAAATCCGACATTAAACAATTTTTGAAAATTGTGAACGTTTGTTTCAATGTCTTGACGCAAATTTGAACAGAAGTGCGTATTTGGGTGCCTTTAGTAGCTTTATGTACTTTCGATTCCATAAATAAACATCTCTGCAAGGAAGCCGGGATTATCTGGTTTCTTGGGGATCAATTTACAATGTTACTAGTTACGGTGGTTACCAACTAGATATATAGTGGTATTCATTCATATAGAGTCAAGATTTAAATTAGAAATATTGAGTATTGACTCAATTGAGTAAGTTATTGATAATATATATGTTTATGGTCATTAATAATTCTTCTTTTAAATATATATGCTAAATGATATTATATTTTTTCTTTTCTGTGTTTCAGTCAAAATATGAAATGAAAATCTTCATATCGTTTATTTCATTTACGTTTCGGCGAGACAACAGTGCCATGATCAGATTAAAATTCAAGAAAAAAACTACAAACACCAATTTACAATTAAAATATGTTGCACTAAAACTATAATTTAGAAAGCATTAAAACATCTATTAGTTCTTAAGGAGAAAAGGTTCTTTAGGAGAGATAAACATTTGAAAAACTTTTTAAATTTTCTCCTGAAGAATTAATGGATTTTTAAATGCTTTCTAAATTATAGATTTGTGCAACATATTTTAATTGTCAATTGATGTTGGTAGTTTGTTTTTCAAACGCAATTTGAAATAAACGAGATAAACATTTTTATTTCACATTTTGACTGAAACCCAGAAAAGAAAAAATATAATAACAATTACACGCAGTCAGGAAAATAAATCAAAATATATGCTGAAGGGCTTATTCACTGACAAAAAAAACTTGATTCAATTTGAACAACTGTTACAGGTCTAATTCACTCTTTCTATGAGTTATAAACCATATTTAGTAACCTTAGAAAAAGAAACACTTTTTATAATTTATTACTCGTCGCCAAGAACAGAAATCTACACAAAGTTATTCACGTACATAACAACATCTAACATTTGCATTCCTGCATTAGAACACAAACAATCAAATAATGCTTATAAAATGTAATGTTAATTAATTTCTCCACTTTCTTGAAACTGAATTCCTGATCATTAGTGTGTTGACTTTAAAGTCTGGCCTGTGCAAAGTTTCTAGACCGTTATAAAAGTTGATTGCTAGCATAATTTTAGACATTTATTTTATTATTGGTATTAACTTTATTTGATCAAGAAATTGAAAACCCGAATAACTTTTATGGTGGTTTTGTTTTGATCATCGACACAATGAAAGTTTCAAAGAATCAATAATTAATTTATTATTGCTGAATAACTGCACATCTCCCAATGAACTGGGAATGTATTGAAAAATAGAATTGTCCCATGATATTTAGATTAAAATAGCATTGTTTTATGGCTTGATCTTATAATCGTTGATCTTCAGAGAAGAAGCGATTATTAGAAACATTATAAAATTAATCGACAAAATATCTTGGAATTTATTAATCTGGCGCTTTTAATTTATTTTGGGACCAGTCCGCCGCTATTCACTAGACAATAGTAAGGTACCTTTTCAAATTCTACATAAACATTATTACTTTTGAAGAAAACAGAGATGGAGCTCATGGATACAGCAGCCATGTCTTCATACCGATTTTCATTCATTTGACTTTATAAAAATTGTATAATGAGTGGCTTTATCAGATTTTCTGATGAAGCTGTATAATAAATATCAGCTGTATAACAATTTTTTCATCTAAAAGGTTGGGTGTTAAAGTCGATTTCTTTAGCAATGAAAAAAGGTTTATTTTTCTTACAACTTCGGCAGTTGTTTGATATTATAGCATTCAACTTTCTATCTACGCCAAGTTCACATAAAATGTGTTAAGTTATATAGAAAAAATGTTTCTATTCCAAATTGTTGTGTATAGAACCTGCAGAAATATTTGTGGACCTAACAACTTTTAGAAGCGATATATTTTGATCAGCATCGCACTGACCCAAATCCTAACTCAGTTTCTTCTAGCAAATAACAATAACTTTGAGGCTAGAAGCGCCAAATCAATAAATTCACGGATACTTCGTCGATTATTTCTATCTTGACATGGCATATTTTACCATTTATTTCGACTTTTTTCTCAGTATTGTCGCGTTATGGGTTTTAATTATTTTTGTGCCACAAGAAAAATACAGGTTTACATTTTATCTAAAAGGTGCGGTTCACAATTCCTGACAGAAAGTTAACGAAAATTATGTATTTAATAATTTTTTTCTGTATCCAGTAATCATTCACTCTTACTTTCGAAAGTTAGTGAGCTGGTCAGTTAAACGGAAAAAGACTTTAAACTTTTTCCTCAATTCTACCTAATTTGTTATTTTATTTTATTTATTTTATTGGCTTCAACTTTTATAGCTGTCAGTGGAGATCGCAGGAGGTAATATTTCAAGATGTTGTCAGCATATTTTCAAAACACAAATTTAAAAGGTTTGTTGAAACACATATGTTTTCATAACGTGTTTATGTAATATTTTCGTTGCTGAAAGCAGTCCTGGAATAAAAAGTTTACATTGATAAGTGCTCCCTCAGGGTTATCCTAAGAGTAAACTAGGATGATGCCTGTTTTTATAAGAAAACTGAGTCAAGAAATTTTTTTTTTTGTATTCATATAAGTGTACAATGTGGCCCAGTTTTTAACTAAATATTTTCTTGATTAATTCAGTTCTGACCGATAAAGTCAATAATTTTATTTAAAAATATGATCAAGTTTAAGTCTTCTTGTCTTGTCCTACATTGCAGTGTTTCAGGCGTAACTTTTTTTGATAAATTTCAGAAAATTACAAAATTTACAAAAATTACACAATTACACAATCTTACAAAAATGACACTATTGCCTTTGATATTAATAAAATCCAAAACGTTTGATTAACACCAAAGAGCAAATTTTGTCGTGAAGTTATTTTTTAGTTTCACTAGCAAATAAAAAAGTTCAATTGCTCATTTCTGAGCTGACTGTAGGTTGTTAAATCATTTTTCAATAAATGCGAAATTCCTGATATAGCGGCGAAGTTCAGGGATATATAACTGAAAATAAATACAAAATTCTTAAGCTGATTTATTGATGTAAATTGGAAACTGAGTTAGAAGTAAATTTAATTTCCCAAAATTTGTACGTGAAAGTTTTGAAGATTAAAAGCACTTTTCTTTCACTACATTTCATAAATCTTAACTACATTTAGATAGAAAATTTATAAAAACATCTTTACAATTTCTAACTGTTTTTTTTTTAACTTACCAATAAGTCAAGGGCTCGAAATAACAAATTACAGCAAAAACCACAAACACAAAACGAATTATCTTAAACACCTCGACCGAAAACATTATAAACAAACCTGAGTCAACCGGCGGGGCGACAACAATTAAGATTGATTTTAATTGAAAACAAGGTATTGGAAACGTAAAATAAAAAATCTCTGCTAAATCGACGATAAAAGGTATTCGCCAGTCAGCTGGTGGCTAATTAGAATTACGGCTCCGATTTTTAACCTTTTTTTCCAATTTTGCACAGTTGGTGATAGCAGGCGCGCCTACTATTGCACAGCACCAGGCCGGAGCTCACACTCTTATTGCTCAAACCGTTTGTCGTCAGTCGTCGCTATTGTTTAAATAGCATTTGCAGCGATTGTTGTTAGGTAAATAGTAATCATGAACAGATTAAATGGAACCACTGCAACTTTATTATCAACATTCTGGGATAATTTATGCGTGATTGTTCATCATGGTCCATCCACCGCAAAATCAGTGAAAATTCATTGAAGATTTATTACTACAGATTTGAACTTGGCGTTTAATAATAGGAAAACCTTGGACAAAATCGTTAAATTAATTTGAGCATTTTTTCTTTAAATAACAGAATACGATCTGAAGTAGTAAGCAGTGCAAATTAGACGAAAGACTTGCTTCTCTTCTTTAAATTCCGCAGAACTATGGAAGTGAACATTTTTCAAAAATCAGATAAGCAGTTGGAAATTACTGAGTCAAATTAATGTATTAGTATTAAATTCAATCAAATACGATTTAGTAGAGCTGAATGTATTTTAGTCAAAATAAATAAAATGTGGCACTGGGCTTTAAGTCAAAGAGATAAAACTTAATTTTTAATTTAAACTTAAGTAAAAATCAATAAAACCTACCAATTTGTATTCTCAAAAAGGTAGATAGATCTAAAGAAAAAAGAGTGTAGGTACATATTAAATCAAATTAAAAAACATAAAAGTTAGCAACTTTTTTCTTGTTCACGAAAATTAAAGGACTAAAATTTTCTTCCCGTATGTGTTTGAAATACTGAGCTTTTAAAAAACCTTTTGCATTTGCATAGGTGTTTATATCTTACTCTTCTTTTAAATATTTTACCGCAAAAAAAACATTTTTTTAAATAATGCGACATTCAGTCAAAGTATTAATGCCAGTTTCAAATGCAAAAAAATTATTAGTTCAATTACTTAGTTTGATCTTTTATTTGGAAAATAATTTGATTGATTAATTAATTTAATGATGAACGAAATGAAAAACAACAAAGAGTAAATTAATTATATCTATCAAATCTCTTATCGACAGAATACGAAAAATCTAGCAATCTAGATTTTCTACAAAAAACGCAAAAACTGTAAAAAACTATTGATTACGTGTACCTATTTGCTATTTACTGTCTGCATTAAGATTTAAATAATTTGCCTTAAAGTCAATCAAGTTTTAATTAATTTCGTCCAAGTCTATAATTTAATTTTGTGGCGAAAGTAAAAAGTGTGGTTTCTGGAAATAAAATGTTCTTATATGAAAGAAAACAACTCTCATCATTCAGACTTGAAGGGTGGTTGGTAAAGCTTAAAGCTTGCCGATGTTAAGAATAAATTAGATTCAATAACAATTTTAAACTCGTATACATGCTGAACTTCAGGCAAAATAAATCGATACTTAAACTCGTTCACTCAAAACTCTCATCTTCAAAAATATAATGCGCTATTTCCTAGAGTACGTATTTATAAAAAAAAATATTGGGAAAGTGATAGTCAAAGTCAATATTAATAAGCAATTAGTTTGACTTAATACAACAATATTTACTATATAAAGAGTATAGCTTTACGTTTTGTGTCATAATTCATATTTATGATTTTTTTAAGTGCAGAAACAAAAATAATTTTGTAGGAAATTGTCCCAATAGCGATGGTTTTGCCAACTTGGAAAATTTGGGTTTTTACTAACCAATAACTTCACATGAGAAGCTGTGCTATTATAATTTTATTAGTTAATGCAGTTTGCCTTTTGTAAATTAAAAATAGAAATTACTAATATGAGCTTTTCATTACCACAGCACCATCCGTAGTACGATTCCATTATTGCCAATATCAAGGCGAAAATATTGTAAATCAGTTTTATTTCCTGTTTTATCAACGTTATCCACATCTATTTTTTAAACTTTAATTTGACTTTTTAATTATTTAACGGTTTGTGCATTTATCAATACCTACTTAAATACACCGCATCCTTCGACTCATAGTTTTTCTTCAAAGTTTCAAATATATGAATCAACCTGTATAACAGAATCCTATTTAACGATAGAACATACATATTACCAAAGTATTTCTCTATGGCATGAAGATTAGGTCACCATAATTGTTATCACCTACTTTTAACAACGCATTAATAAAACAGATAAAACTTACCCGAAATCGTAATTCTCGGAATTCCTAATTTCAAAGAATCACTAATCTCGTCTTTAAAGTTACTAACATTTAGTTTAGTTCGACATTTTCAAAGATACGTTTTAATTGGTCCTTGCTAGAACCACTTTTTAAAAAACACTTAATGGGGTTTTCCACCACATCAAAAATACTTTGAAAATATTATTGAACCAGCCAAAGTTATTAATGCTTTTTAAAGCCTTCAAAGTTCTAAAAATGGGATAATTGCGCAACTAGAAATATAACAATAACAGAAATACAAAGAAAACTGATGTGTTAGCAAGCCTCAAAAAAATTACTTTTATAATTATTATTTGTAAAGGCGTCTTGCGAAGGTTTTGATACTGTTTTCATGTCATCATTTGTGCTCTGCTAACTACATTTCTGATCCGTTTAAATTTAAAAGTGTTTTCTAGTTCCTAGACAAAAATTGAAAATAAAAGGATCATATATCAATCAGATTAAGAGCTTGCCTCGCAGACGGATTATTTAACTTGCCTACTAAAAATAGAACACAACAAAAAAGTATAATTATTTTCTTTGATGCGATGAGATTGCGTCAATTGAATTCGGGAATTCCACGTTATATAGACATGATTAGACATGCATGTAAAATATAGAATATTATTGACATGGTAAAACCATGTCAATAATTTTCGCATTCATTAATCAAAAGCCAATAATAAAATTAATTTAATCTGGAAAATTATCCATTTCTGCCTATTTCTTCAAAATGATTATGCACTCAATTGAATAGCGTATAGCTCTCATGAATAAGTAATTGAATACACGTTAAGATCTTTTGGATGTTGTTTTGGACTCTCGATTCTCAAGAATATTACTTGCATAATTGCGGTCAGTAGGTTTTTGCTTTTAGATTTACTTGCTGCGCTATACTGAAAACTGGTTAAAACTGTTTAAACCTGTTAATATCAAATAAAAGACTAGAAATTCCGTTTTGATATCGTTGAAAAAATATAGAAGTTTCTGTTTTATTATTATTTAGTTAGAGCAATCAGTTAAATGTTTAGCTTCCTTCTATTTTACCATTTTATTTCGTCAATTTAGCTACGTAAAAAGAAAACTGGAAATTTTAGTAAAACTCATTCCCAATTCAAATACTTCATCTAAGTGGAAAAATATGAATTAAAAATGGAAAGTTGTAACAAGTTAAGTGTATGTTAAAGTGGAAAGCAGTATAACATTTGGGTAAATAAGCATAAAGAAATGTTTCTTAATTGTGCAACTTGATAATCTGAGAAACAGGGACACTATTCACTTATTTTTTTAAAGATCTCTACTGATACAACACTTCTAGAATCATGATCAGGAAATGATTCACGGGTTTAATTAAGAATTTGCGGTTAGAAAAATGTACTTATTCTCTGTGTTGGGTATTTTTGTTTTAACCAATACCAAATAGTTTTTTAAGTTCGTTGCTTGGTTCATTAGTAAACTGTTTCAGTCATTCGGAAATGTGACTTTTTCAAGTCGGTTAAATATCCTTCGACTTCAAATATCCAATATTAATTATATCTTCCTAATATTTAAATCTCATTGGGAATTATGAAAACCGTTAATTGCCTTACCTAAGTAAGTGACTTTAGTACTGAACCCAATTTTCATTTGATTTTTTTAAATTATTGTATTTTATTTTCGATTGTCACATACATCATTAAAAATCATCTCCCAAAGGTTTGAGTGTAAAAATTATATTTTCTAAATATTATGCAGAGCCAAATTTTATAATTGCTCTTAAGTCAAGCAGTTAAATAATGTTTCATTTGTGTTTTAATGTTGGAATGATTAGGAATCTCAAGCTTAATACCATCTGGAACCATACTCTTTTTAATGAACAGGCAATTTGCTTTATAACCATGGAAGTTACTTTTAAAAAACTTGTTGTGTTATGCAAATTTATACCACAGGAAACAAAGGATTAGTACGGCAATGACAATTACGATACACATATTTATTAAAAATTTTCTTAACAGTGATTTTTGAGGCTATCACTTATGATTGAATAGTAGATTAGTTTCAATTAAATGAAATTGTCGGCCCACTCTTTTTGCTCCTTTGGCTAAAACGAAATCTCATTTTTGATTGCTGGGGGGCAAGCAATATATTATATAGTTTTTTAATATAGGGTATTTTAATTTGGAAAATATCCATTTAAGGAATGAGAATGTAGCTGTTCGATTAAAATGACGACTTTATTTTTGTTGAGTGTATTTTTCAACTTCTTCGCTTTAGGAAGGAAGGAAGCAGGTGAAGATACACTGAAGAAAATCCAATCAAACGATGTGTTGATTTTCTTGAAATTCTTCTCTTCCTATCATCTTCACACTTCGAAATGTATTCTATCATCTTTATTCTTCATATCACTTATCATGAAATACATATTTTATTTTCACTGCACTTTTTTTTCTTCTTGAAGAGTTCTGTTAATTCTGAGCTTGTTGCATTCGTGTAATTCCGATTAATTCATAAAATTTTTGTGCTCGGATATCTTTTGTAATCTGTCGTTAAATCTTTTTTCCTCCAATGGGCTTAAAATTGTCTACTACTGCATGCAATCTAATTTTGCTGTCTCAATCAAAATTTACTTTCAATGCGCACTATTTAATGTCGTCGGTTTTATTTTTCTAATGGAAGAGTTTTATACATTAATGCAATCCGAGTCCGATTTATCATCGAGCGTGTTCAAAACGCTTTTAAATTATTTTATTTTATTCGTATTAACCATTATATATACCAATAACTCCTTGTTAGGTTATTTTAATTGGAGTTAGAAAGATTGACAAAATGTTGAGAAGGATTTTTATTTTAATTTGAAGTAGTTGTTTTAAGATGTATTGCGTTTCAAACGACAGTACCTACATTTAGGCGAGTTTGTCATGTTTTGATGACGATCAAATGATTCTGTGCTGGCTTTAAAATCTGGAGTAGTATTAGTTTCTTTATTTTCCTTCAAATAGTAGTGCATTTTTACGGGTTCGTTTTAAATTATATTGATGCACAATCAGTGTTGCTGCTTTATTTAAATCCAATTTTAAGCACCAAACGATTGCATCCCGCCTTGTTTGAGTGAGAGCCTGTTATTTATTTATAATTTTAAATTTTAATTCTATTAAAAAAAAAATAAAAAAATTTGAGATATTTTGGGACGATTTTTGTTACGGTTACACATTTATTCATAAAGTTTTTTTTCTTCGTAAAGATTCAGCACTACCTACAAGCAATTAGTTAAACGGCCGATAAACGAAGTCAATAAATAACAACATTATTAAATTCGTTGAAATCCAATAAATGGACGGAATTAAAGCTTTAAAGTTTATTCAAGTAGCATGTTTATTTAGTTGTTACAATGGAATTTCAATAATTTTAAATTTTCCAATTCCAAATTACATAACCGAGGATTTTGCCGAATTCTCGAACCGTATGCAGTTTTGTAGTATACTTGTTTATTACGGTTTTTACCAAATATCGGTTTGAGCTCCTTATTAGTAGTATGGGAAGCAATAAAGGTAAAAATAAAACATGTTATTCGAAATTCGGTATAAGTTTTATTTAGAATATAGTCATGTGTAACATGGAAATAACATGTCATTCATACTATATACAGTTCATGTAATACATGGCATGTTTTTTCATTGTAATCATTATTATTAACAATGAATTCACTATACTTAATTAAAATTTTATTTAGGTAACAACGACTGTTTAACCAGCTAAAATAACATGTTTCTCCTAGTATACAAACAATATGCTGTTTATCGAGGTAAAGCTTAGTGAAATTTATAAACACACTGCGGCAAGATTAATATCTCCTACCCTTGAAAGCAGAATGCATCTAACAATGTTTCGTAACTGTTTAGAGCTTCCTCAAAAACTGAAGACAATTTCGTATCATCACGGATTTTTCCTGTGCTTATTAAAATAACTATTTACAAATGGCACATTATGCCACTGATTGGTGTTTTCTATAAATTTCACTAAGTTTAGGTGCGATTTTTCAATGTGGGATCAATTGAAAACGAATGCTAATTATTATTACGATATGTAAGACATTTTGACACAGTTTTAGTCATTATACTTTTACAAAAAACGTTTCAACAACAGAAAAAAACGCTCAAGAAATCAGCTGCGGAATACTCAAGTATCCACCGGTTTTGTTTTTGGTTTTTAAAGTCCAGATAAAACCAAGTGAGACGTAAATAACTTATGTCATTGTTTTTTGCCTAAGTCTAACTAGAAAATCGTCAACAATAACCACATCTTTTGTAAAATATTTCCTTTTTGAAACAGCTGTAATAAGGATAATGAAATCTATTTGGACAAGTCATCAATTTCACATCTACTCATATGCATACATATACAATGTAAGCCAATTATCTCGTCTCATTCCAAAAATACAGACATTGCTATTGATAAATTTAACTTACAAAAGCGTATTACTTCCTCTAATAATTATAATTGAAAATAAAAGATTGTTTTAATCAACTATTTATGTCATGCAAGATCACCTTAAATTAAGCCTGATCATTAAAATTGGATATTGGGCAATTGAATTGTACTTTCACGTAACTGTGTATTACGCCACGGAATTTAAGAATTTCCAAGAAAATCGGTTGACGTGAGGTCAACATTTAATGCTTAAAGCTCACTTGGCTTTATTACGTTATATTTAGGGAGTAATGAGAAAACAATATTGATGATACGATTTGGTACGAAATTTAAAAATACTTTTGGGTTTCTGTTCACAAAATCTGGAACATCTTGATCGAATTTTGGTATATATTTTAAAATTCTGCCAGCGGTCTATATAAATATATACATGTTTTATTCCATATGTTAACGGCATCTTTATTAAGGTGTTTTGAAAATATACTGGTTTTACTCTTCAAGTTAATTGATTTTCCTCATTTAAGCAGGAAAATAAATTTCATGAAGTTACATCAGACATTGCATAATAATCAAAGCAAAGTCTGGGGTTTTTTTAATGCTTGAATTTTACGAACTAAAATATAATTTTTATTGGAAGTTTTACTTAATATTAAAGATACTAAACCGAAATTCTATTAATCATTTTGATTTGGGTAAACAAAAGCGCCAATATTTGGATCGGGAGACACTAAGAAAAGCACACACGATGAATCAATAGAAATTTTTTATCTAGGATATTGAAATGCACATATTTTGTATGTTTGCGTTGGAGATTATAAAATATCCAATCACTACGACAAACTGGGATTCAACAAACAAGTGAATGATACACATTTTAAGCAATTTTTACGTTGAAAACAAATCAAACTTTAAAAATGTACTAAATATCAACTTGGTGCATAGGATGAATTATTATCACCAGCTTTCCAATGCCCGAAGTGCTATAATTTTTGTTTAACAATTGAAACTTATAAACATGCATGAAAAGGTGTCTCGGTAATTTTTACGTAGCCTTTTTCTGAATAAAATTTAGGTCAGATCGTCTTCGTATGAACCAAAGAATGTCACAGTATCCTTCTGATCATGTGTTTTCAGGGCACCCTGTATATCTTTACGCGTTTCGGAAATTAAACTAATTTATGAATGTAACTTTCATCTAACATAATCCAACACGTTTTGTTACATACATCTACAGAAAGTGTGTTTTTGGAGAAGTGATTTTTTTATTGTTTTGGGTGCCAAACAGACCACATCTGCTTTTGATGAATGAATTTGAACATTTGTATTTGATTAAAAATCAATCAGTTTCATTCCATATTTATATTGTTTCAATTTTGAGAATTTTAGAAACGAGCGCAAGCATTTGATACTTATTTTTGCAAAATCAATCAGTCTTAATACATAAAGTTGATTGATTGATGAAAGTACCAGAACGTTATCTATAAATTAAATTTTTATAAAACTTTTAGCGGCATGCCGCATGTTTGAGATATATTTTGGTTTAGTTGATTTGGTAAAATTTGATCTTAACTTGCATATTTTTTGAGTGATTATTAATTTATACCTACTTGTCTTCAGTGTTTTTACAATTCAGTTCATAAAAAAGAACCTTCACTACCCAAAGCCAATGAATAACGCTGCAGATCAATCAAATCTGGAATTTAGATCAGAAACCTGAACCAAAAACCCAAACCATCGACTTGTATATAGAAACTTAAATCTAATCCGAGCTTAACTTCTACACTGGTGTAGTCCTTCTGGCATCATTTTCAAACGTTTTTCGACTACCACCACGCGAACTTATACTCACAATACTTTGAGCTCTGATCGGTAACGGCTGATCCAGATCGAAAGTAACGAACTCCTGCGGCAAACTTGGCGAATAATCGTCAAAGTACGGTTCGGGCAAATCATCCAGATTGACATCGGCAGTCGTCGACACTGTGTTGACAGTGTTCAGGGTGACGTCACGGGATAATCCGCGCTCGCGATTGGTGAATCTTTCGTCGAACTGATACGAAATTGTCGGCGGTGGGGGAAAGTCATAGAAAGACGCTGAGACATCTTTCAGTGAGGGCGTTGATTGGTGGAAACGAGATCGGTGCAGTGTGCAAGGCGACTCATGGGTACTATCCTTAGGTGACATGTGGTACCTGTAAAAAGAGAAAGATTAAAAACTAAAGTTACTTTATGAAAAATACCTTATGGGAGCTACAAATATTTTTACAAAAATTACCATTTTTCAGTCTATGGCATTGTTAAATATGTACGTTGCTTGATTTGATTTACGTGGCCAACTTAAAGTAATTTCTGCGCTCTATTCTCGATTTGCCTATATTTTTTCGACACTATGAATGATTGAACAATTATTAAGCGAACTTATATAAACAGTTTTTTCCTTTCTTGCTGATTTTCCTTTCTAAGCTACTTTTAAAATAAAATACATTTGTTGTCATCGGTTGCGATTTAATATAAGGTTTGTCTTATTGTCAAATCCTTAAAAACATAATTTCTTCCGATTACTTTGGTTGCACAGAAAATGTAATTCGAACATTTGCCTACAACAAACGAAAACAAATTTTACTTACAAAGCCTTACAAAACCCAATTTTTTTATTTGAATATGGCATTTCATCATCGCATAGTGAAGAGTTTCTATCAACTGAGCATTCGCCCCTATTCATACACTACGAAATTTGTGCAGTTTTCATAATTAGCTTCTGAGAGCAGACGTTTTTTTTAATACCATTTTTTTTCAAAATTCGTTGAAAATATGCTAGTATTTAGTAATTAATCAAGAGTTATATTTTTATATTAGTCATTAAAAAGTGGTTGAACAAATTACTTCAAATAATTAATATAAAGCAAGTAAAAAACAGTAATTGTTCCCTTTTATTGATATACAGTTTCACTCCATAAACATGTCGTCAATATAATCGCAATGAGGAAATTTTGTTTTGATCGCAAATTGATTTTTAATAAAACTCTTCTTTGTCCGCATGCTAATATTAATTTTGCTTATTGCAGATGACAAAGTTCTGAAAAAGATAACTCGAGGTTCATCGAATTGATATTTTTACAATAATTGACGTACTTTTTGAAAGTGCTCTTCATTGCATCACAGTACTGTCATAGAAGATGCAGTTAGCAAGAAAATTTCTATCTATGCTTGTGCAATTACTTATATTACTTCGCAGCTTTTTGAACTGACTGTTAGCAAATATAAAAATTGGTGGAAATCTTCAATAAGTTTCAACATTTTCACATAAAATGAATTTTCACAAAACATTTGTTAGTTTTGTAGCTATAGTAATAAATTTGTGGCAAAAAATGTGAAATTACTAGTTTCGCTCATTTTGATTTAAGGAATATATTTTATTATATTTAATTTATTATAATTCTAGATTTCGCCCTAAAAATCAAACGTATTAAACTTGCTGTGCATTCAAATATTAAATCAAGAAAACAAGGTTTAAATTAAGAAACAAGCACATGTGATTGAGAGTGAAGAAAATGGTTTTTGTTTGAAAATTTCGCAATGCATACTCACTGTGTAGCGGCGGCTTCCATTTAATTTTTGTTCTTATATTTGAAAATTTATCAGTCTTTATTTATAAAAAATGTGACATACAAAATATGTGAGCAGCTATTTATTGAGGAAGTAGGAAACTTTTAGTTTTTATTAATTATTGAGTACTTTTCTCTATACATAGTATACCTGGTTATATTTCAAGAAACCCAAAATTGTAATTCAATTACTTAATTAGTTCACATTACTTACATATTTCTTGCTGGACTTCTGGGGAACGTAACGGTACTATTCGAGTTAACGTAGTAATAAGGATGTCTCCTGCATGGATACTCTACAGGCATTGGAGGCTCTATAGTTCTATGTAAGTTTGGTATCGAAGGCGTTCTATTTCCCTTCCTCAGCTCGTCGATTTGTTTCCTTCTCCAATGGTACCTTACTCTAAAACAAACACGTTTTTATCAATTTGCTATGACTTTTTCATGTTGGTTTCAAAAATCTTATACAGCTTTTGTTTGGCCATTCACCTTCTGTCCAGAATCAATAACCTTTTGCGGGGATTGAAATGTGGAAAAGTTGCGTTTTACTCACCTATATATAAATAAAAAAATACAGCCAGTTCCCGTTAAATTTACAGAGGACAGTCCAAAGGCGTACAGTAGGAATGAGTATCCGTATCGGTATTCGAACAGTGGTGGCCTTATTTGGGACTGCGGCCTAAGTTTACTACCCACTTCTGCTTTGAACACAGATATATACACTATGAGACCTAGTAGCATTATCAACCCTGAAAAAATTTGAAAAGTTTATTAATAAAATTATATTGGGATAATAAGTTGTAAGTGGTCGTTTCWTTAATAAACCGYTGGATGGTTTTTCATTCACTCAATCTAAATCAACCTATATAAATAGCATTAAAGCGGAAATTTGCGTATTTAAAATACACCTAATTAGATTTTTTMATTTTWTTTTTTKKKAAATTAACCAACGGAAAATGCGTGTRATATATACCGAAGTTTGCCTYAGAATTTTATCAATTAGTTTATCYTTCGCGCTTTTAACTGCTTTCATTTCAATAATAGTAATAAAATTAAACTCACCTGTRAATATAAATAGTAAACCGGATATAAAAGTATATATTCCTCTATATCTAACGCATTGACCAAGCATGCAACACATAAARGCTGCAATCATGATYGATCCTGCCAGCAGAAAAAARATGGCAGCTTTTGAAACAACATCTGGAAAAGAAGAAATATTAAGATTTTAGAGTGTTACAAACTGAAAATATTCAAATACRGACTAAAAACAAATGSTTYGTTTGCTCCRACGGGGCTTAATGGGTGGTTGAATTTGATACACTGATTGTTTTACGGATGACAATTTATGTATATCGATGTACAAGGTGATTGAACAATAATGGRAAATACAGAAACTGGAGATACTACGCATCCGAAACTCGTGATTTCAGTTTGTCAAATTGTATTATTCTASAAATATCKTAGTTGGRAACTTGAGCAACGTGGAACTTGTATTCGTCACAAACACGTATTTTATTCTTAATCTAAAAAACSTAATGTTAAAAAAAAATTAGTTTAACCTAACCCAAATTAACCCAGATGTTTTCAAAATACTGTCAATCGAGCGAAAAACAATTYCGAATTTKAATACACTGTATTTTCGAAACTATCAACTTTACCCAATGACCACTAATTAAMGCGTAATATMTTCAGTATCAAGCTCTACAGATCTAGATCTCTACTTTGACGCTATYCTATCCTATATTGAATCCAGAAATTTGTCCTTGTGTTGAGACATTCGATGCATTGCTGAAAATTATAACGAAAAACATACAATAAACCTCATCGAGATTATTTATAAGCGGAAAAATTTATTACAAAAAAAATCTTTATTTTTGAACTGAATGTTATCAAATGAATGTAAAATATATTAAAATTTCGACCAACTTGTTATTTTTGTCAAATGTTAATATTTTTTGAAATCTCATAATATTAAACTATTCTGGGGTTTGAATTTCGAACGTAACTTAATCAAGAAAACATTTTTTCGTCATCAATTTTGTTTCAATGTTATCCAACCATTATACATATATGGATTGCATAAAATTAATAATTTAAATACTTTCATTAAATAGCAACTAAACTCATTCTGTAAAGGTACACAATTATATAATTAATGTAAATTTAAACCATATACGTCCGGTGAAATATAGCGTTCATATAAAGTGTTTTGGTAGTTATGTTTCATTCTTGTTAAAATAGTACTGCAGTTAATAGTTTATTTGAATTTATTATATTCCCACTATATTATTAAATTTTATTGATAGAATTATGTTATTTTATATATTCTAACAATTTGTACATGTGTGTATTTTCTGTAGGAAAAGCTGAAATTTGGGAATTTAATCTACCATAAAATTGTTTAATAGAACGGGAGCACCAAACTCTTAATCAAGGTAATTTCTGCTCAAAAGTAGGATTAATAAGAAATATCAAATAAGCTTAACACAGTTTTACATTATCTCGCAGAGAGTATATATCGAGAGTTCCCAATGTAGATAGTTACAAATTTATTTGATATTATTATAATTTATGTATATTTCAAATAAATTTTGAAGACTGTTTTTATGAGTAAAGTAAGAAGTTACATAAATGAAATAAACAATAAAAATAATTTTGAGTTGCGTAAAGAATATTACTTCAGAATTAGCTAAGGTTCTTAAATTAGAAGTTATCTAGAGAGTCTAAGACGAACACCGAAAAAGCTACGAGAGGCAGAAAAAAATCATATATTTTTCACGATTGAACATTCAAGTTTCTAAAACTAACGATAACACTTGAATTTTACATTGAACATTGTGTTCAAATAAACGTTTGCACTTACATGGAATAACTAACGTTGAATCTTTGAGGTCTGGACTGTAATCTTGAGCGAAATAATCGATTCGTTTGCAGGCGTACTCGTCTTCACCAGCTGGAATTAAAGAAAATGTTAGCAGAAATGATTAACAGAAGCCCGGTAATTTAATATGTTTTTTTTAATACGGAACATAATAAATGAGCCCTTTTCAAGCAAGTATTATTTAGCAATTGACAGATAAACTTAACAGCAGGAAAATATGTGTTTTGAAATAGTGTTCACCTTGATGACAATCTTCCATACAAAAGCAACTGTTTTACTTGCCCAGCCTTGAAAATTCGAGTGGTCCCAGAGCGATGATAATTTTCCAAGATCTTTAATCGGGCTTCAATTTATTGCCTTTTAAAAGCTAAACAATATTCATTGATCATCAAGTTTACATTGGACATATCTTAGATATTATATTTCAAACCGCTATGAAATTTGAAGAAACTCTATAGGAGTTTGGGCCATTAAAATATTTTTGGTATCCAGAAATTTGTGATCAAGATTCCCTACGTGATCTAGTGGTAATGGGGACCGCGCCCACTCACTCCATCACGGTGGAAAGAAGAAAACACTGTCAACTTTTCAAAGCCGTTCGCATCTTTTCGGGCACACACGTACGTGATTCCGGTTTTATTTTTCTTCTCGCATTTCCACATCCGGAGCCCCGTTGACATGCTAAACAAATAACGTCCATATTTCAGATCCTTTCATTTAAGGCCGGGAAATGACGCAAGAGCTTGATTATAGAGCCGCTATTGCGGATTTGTTTTGAGCCTGTCAAATTGAGTTGCCTCGATTTTAATAGAGAGCTTGGTATATGTTCCATTGGAAATGACGAATTGTTTATTTACGTAATTTATAACATGCATTCAGGAATTGAAGAATTAAATTTTATCATATTTCAGGGGTGTTGAATTTTATTTAATTTTTTCATTAATTAAAGGGGTTTTGGAATGGGTGGTGAAGAGTTTTTACGTTTTTTTGAAATCCACTACTTTCATATTCACATTCTTCACCTCCTCACTTTCAGTCGCATTATTTCTATCTGCTGTTGCGTCTATTTCAATTTCATCTGCAATCATTCCATTGTCATGTGCTAAACTCAAGGCAACATTCCTTCGGATCCGTCCCAGAGTTTAGAATGTGCAACTATTTTACAACTAACACAGCAACTTATTTCAATTATTTAGATATACTTAGGTAATCTGGTTGAAAACCCAATTCGAAGGGGATTTTGTTGTTTTCACTATGAGTTTTCGTACCAATACGTGGTGAAGTAATGAGGATTTAGACCCCTTCTGGCCCCCATTGCAAAACTAGTAGAAACCATAACGGGCCACGAAGCCCGCAAATAGACAATTAGAAGGAAATTGCGCGCCAGCATGCACCCTCGTAAACCAAACATTAATAGTAGTTATAAATATCCTTAGGGGACACCTCGGCCATTTTACAAGTCCAGAAAATGTCTATTGTCCTAAGTTAACTGAGCTTAGTTAGGAAATTGAAAACTGTCCATTTAATTGGCCAACGAAATTGACTTCTACTTTCCTTAAAGTTCGAACCTTGACATTCACTTCATAGGTTCTTGAACAGCTGTACTTTTACAATATCTAAAATATCTACGTTCTGAAAAACATGTAATGCTAGGAGGCGTGGCTGCACCCTGACCAAGTCTTCGACGTGGTTGAACAAAATTTTCGGATAAAGTGCCATATTCTCAAAGAATTTGGAAATCGTCTGCACTTCATTTTTCAATTTTTCAACTAATTTGGCTCAGGTTTCATCAACATAAACTTTATGATTTGCACTTTATTCGACTTCCGACAAATTGTCGTCAATCTAACGCCTCCGGTCCGGAATTAAATTTTCAGTGGTTGATTCCATCTTGTTCCCTGTTTTTCATAAGCAAGTTCATAGGGTTAGCTGCATTCTACTCATATATTCGTCGAGAACGGAAATTTATTTTCCACATAAAGCGCAATTCTGCTTTCGTGTTACCGATACAACGAGGAGAATGAGTCTTGTGGGAAATCAACGTTTTATTTTCCTTCTACTAATAGCTCTTGAATAATGCGTACCATGGATAACAATGCCTTTAAAATTCCACGGTAAAATATTTTTTATTGAGAAAATCTCCTTTCCGATACCATAATTAATCTTAATGCACGAATATAATATGGTGCTTGAAGCCAGAGTTCATTAGACTTAAAATAATGCACACGATCATCACAAATACGTATGTGTAGTGTACGTGTAGCAACTCTCTAATAGAAAAGTAGGCAAATGCAGATTTTTAGTTTGTACCAGGGCAGCAGCATGTTGAAAGAGGTAGCAAATGAATATCAGGAGAAGATTCGTTTTCAGCGTTAGCGTTCCCTTATTATGAAAGTGGGTGTCGCAAGTCTCTAATAGAAAAGTTCTGATGGCAAATGCAGATTTTCGTTTGTACCAGGGCAGCAGCATGTTGGAAGAGGTAGCGAGCGAATAGCAGGGCAACTCAATGAAACTCGTCATGTGGCTGTCCTTAATCATCACTGTAATCAGCAGCACGTCTTCATGTATGATCAGCAGTTGCCATATAACAAGAATTTTACTGCATAGCATTTTACTGCTTGCAGAACTCGTGTTAAACTCGATTTTGCTAGTGATCTTGTGATTGTTTTTTTAGTTTGTTGTTCATACTATAAGTTGTGCTAAAAAATATAAATAACTAGAGGAAAATATACCACTGACTTATTTATCTATTGCTTCAGATCATGCCTTGACTTTATTATAAAAAGTTTTCATTTTTGTCGTGCGAAAATCGTATCGGGAATCCGAATGTGAGGTTCCACATGTTCCCTCATGGTGCGATTATGTTTCAACACTGGATGGACGTTGTGAATAATCCAGCATTGTCCAAATTAGCTCATACCACTGTTAGAAGGTGTTATTCGGTATGCAATAACCATGTTATAGTATCTCAATTTCAAACTCCCGAAAGGAAGACGCTGCTGACAAAAGCTATTCTCAAAAGTTTTATAGCTCCTTCTAACATTTGCATGCCACCGGCTAGTGATTCGGAGACACATCCGCACACAGGTAGAGATACTTTTTCGACAGAAATTTTTTTTATAATAATGAAAAACTTATCAGGTATACAAACTTCTCATGATGATTCTACTTCTGTCGAACGGGAACAAGAATCAACTTTTTCGATGCCTACACATAATGTAGATAGTGAAATCGGTAAGTTTTAATAATCATTAAAAAGTAATAACTACAGTAAGAGTAGGTACACGCTTTTTCTTAAGTTTAAGAAAACGCTGTTCTAAAGTATTATTTAAAAGTATTTAATAGGTTGACCGCTGCATGTGAGAAGCGAATTGCTTCATTCCATTGGAGTAACCAGCAGGAACAAAATGACTCCAAGGAAACAACTTCTATTTTACAAGCTATGCAGCATGAGGAGGACATCGAAACGTTATGAGCATAATTTGAAGAGTTGCAGGAAAGACGTGTTCGGGGTAAAGAACATAAGTAATCTTTTAAACAATAAAACTTAGATTTGTTTAGAAGATATATGATAGAAGACCGTGGGCGCAGAAATTTTTCCTATTGCAGCTACGTCAAAAAGGTTTAATGGAATTCTTAATCATTTTAGTAATTTGTTGCCCTTTGCATGACGAATATATGTAATAATACGGCAGTTTCGGAATTTATTATTTATAATAGGTGAAAATATATTTTGCTTCTAATACATCGAAAATTAAGCCGCAGAAAGATAGCCGCGACAATGCTATAGTGGATCAATACATCCAAAAATTTGCACCCAAATTGTATAAGTAGTTTTTGTATTATTATTTTATAGAAAGGCAGATTTTGACATCAACAATTTTGTTTATTTGCTCCTTACATGCTTTTTAAGTTTTTACTTTTACTTGTTTATCATTTAGACGTCTGTTTGTCCTGTTTATGTTATATATGTTGATCGTTTATAGGATGTACTTTGTTCTTTCCTATTTCTGTTATTATAAATATGTTTATCATTTATGACTGTTTTTCTTGTTTCTGCTATAATAAATAATTTTATCATTTCTAGTGTTTTTCGTATTTCTATTATTATAAATACGTTTATCATTTATGACTGTGTTTTTCTTGTTTCTGCTATAATAAATATTTTTATAATTTATGACTGTCTTTTTTTTAATAACGTCAATACATATACCTACATGTTGCCATTTTGTTTCTAGGTCAGTTTAAGTTTGTGTTTGCCAGCGTTACATCATTTTAAAGGTAGCTGTTACAGGTGCAGCGACTTTTAATGTAGTTGGACAAATATTTACCTTGCTACGAATAATAAATTCACAGAAGTAAAGCCTGTGTCCCATGCATCCGTTTATATGATGAGACGATGATACGAAAGTGTTTCTATTGGTTGGAGCTCTGCGAATTCTTCCGCCAACCAATAGAAAGACTTTCCTATCATCGTACCATCGTATAAGCGGATGCATCGGACACAGGCTTAACAATCATATTGTAATTCCTAAATCGAAATTCCCGCTTTCTTTTAATTTAGGGACGTAAACACCTGGCAGAGAGCGCGCATAAGCGATCACGGGCGTTTGCATGGAGTTGTCACTTCTTGTTCAGAGGTGATCTCTGATCAGGGCAGTCAATTTTTTAGCGTTAGCGTTGCCTTATTTCGAAATTAGATGTAGCAAGTCTCTAATGGAAAAGTTCTGATGGCAAATGCAGATTTTCGTTTGTACCAGGGCAGCAGCATGTTGGAAAAGGTAGCAAACGAATATCAGGAGAAGATTCGTTTTCAGCTTTAGCGTTCCCTTATTTTGAATGTGGGTGTAGCAAGTATCTAATAGAAAAGTTCTGATGGCAAATGCAGATGTTCGTTTGTACCAGGGCAGCAGCATGTTGGAAGAGATAGCGAGCGAATATCAAGAGAAGATTCGTTTTCAGCGTTAGCGTCCCCTTATTTTGAATGTGGATGTAGCAAGTCTCTAATAGAAAAGTTCTGATGGCAAATGCAGATGTTCGTTTGTCCCAGGGCAGTAGCATGTTGGAAGAGGTAGCGAGCGGACATCAGGAGAAGATACGTTTTCAGCGCTAGCGTTCCCTTATTTTAAATGTGGGTGTAGCAAGTCTCTAATAGAAAAGTTCTGATGGCAAATGCAGATTTTCGTTT